AGGGGCCACATGGGGATCGTGACACTGATTAATTCTGAATTTACTCCCTTTGTGACAGAGAATGTCCATATTGTTTTTTTTACTCAGCCAAATGATGAGCACTGATTGCTTTTAAGAACTCCTTCTGCTGCTGCTGCTTCCTGCTATGTACCTTTTATGAATGGATTAGTTTAGATTGCAGCATTCATTTTTAAGTTGTCCTCTCCCTTAAATGTATAATTGTCCTCTACCTACAAAAGATTCCTTTGTAATTTTCTTTTCAACATTTCTACTGGTCGTGAGTAGGCATATGCTATTGCTTTCCTACAATATGATAGCTGTCATGCAGGTGAAATGTATCTTAACAGTACATTGCTCTTGAGCCATGTCAAGAAAAATTAAGCTTTATTTTGTAAGAATCATGTTTAATTCTGACGGTATGCAGCCAGAATGAGTGCTGTTCTCAAATGACTATTGTGTTTTCTAAGAGGGAGATGGTGGGCTGAGCTAAAAAGAGAAGAGAAAAGATTTTCTGTTTATATTGCTTACCTGGAGTGAGGAGGGTGGTGGAGGTGAGTCTGGAGACCTACTTTCTTGTGTGTCAGCTATGGCATACTTCCCATGCCTAGCATCTGGAAAGTTGTGGGCTGTAGTCCATCAAAGCTGATTTCATAATGGCATTCATCCAAGTGCCATAATACTCTTTGCTCATGTTCCTTACTGCTCATGTGGGCAAACTTTGGATACTGTTGTCAACTCATGGACCACAGTACTAAAAGTAAAATATGGTGCTAAGCAGCCGTAACCTATTCAGTAATGGGCAAAGGTGTGATGCCAATTCTGGAACATGGAAAACTGTTTGAGCTGTTGCCCCAGGCAGCAATTTTATGTGTTTCCTGCTGGTCCTACCAAATTAGGAAGTATAGTCAAAAGTCTACCCAATTTCACTAATTAAAAACCAACCAACCAACAAAACAGTACAGTTTTGAGAACAACAGTGTTATATTTCTTCTAGGATTCAGTCTGAATGTTGTTTCCCAAATACAGATCTTCGTAACAATGAAGCTTCTACTTTTCAGTGGCACCAATTTAATAAAACATGTCTTGAAACTGATAAAGCCAGAGTAATAGGCTAGAATCCAGTTAGTTTAAACTACTACATACTGTAGGAGCAGTTACACAAGTCAGGTGGGCTATTTTTCTGCTTTTCTGTTGGTGCCAGGTCTGTCTCTGGGTGCACAGTTGATTGCCCAGTGAACAGCTGGAAAAACATGAACAGTGCTTCTGTGAATGCTTCTTTGCAAGTGAATTCAGCTGGATTTTGATCTAAAAGTTTATGGGGCATACACATTTGCCTCCCAGACTTATGTTGGAGAAAGAGACTAGAGTTTCCACAGCCAGCCACCCCAATATTACAGAAATAGCAAATCACTAGTGTGAATTATTGTGTCCCATCAACAGTACAGGCAGAATCATGTTTGATGATCCCAAAGGCTGGCATCTTTTTCCTGCCAACTAGCTGTCCATGGGAAGACTACAAGCCTAATTCTTGAGTTAGATATCGAAAATGTAGATTACTATACTGTTTCTATGTGGGTAGTATATGGTTTTTCTTTTCATGAAGTCATAAACACAATATGGACCCTCTGTGATGTAGCCTAGGACTGGGGAAGATATAGCATTTTAAATGGTGCTGGACCGCAACTTTCGTCAGGCCTAACCAGCATAGCCAATGGTGAGTGATATTGTGGTTTGGTGTCCAAGAGCATCTGGCCACATGTTGTCCACCCTTTATTTATAATTAATGTCAATGCACCTTTCCTAAGTCAATGCACCTCATATTCATTATGATCTTTTCCTTCCTTTCTGGAGAAGCACATATTCTCTATTGAGAAGATATTCTATGTCAGCCTTGGATTGTTTATTTTTGCCTCTCTCTTTTTGCTGCCTTAACATATACCTTCTTCAGTCAATGATAAGAAGTAGAAAGTTATGACCAATGCTCAGCTTAAATCCTTTCAAAAATAAAAATAAAAATGTGTATAAAATGTTAATAGCTACAGGGTGTGCATAACAGTGGTGCTGTGATGGACTCTAGAGAATAGCCTTCAAGTATACTCAGCTGGTTGTGCATGTAGGGAACTAAAAACTTTGGATGAATTGCATTAATCGCTGCCTTTCATTATTACGTTTGTCTGAAAAGTAATTTGGATCCAAGATCTGCCATCTAGTAGTGGAAGCTCCTCTTTCTGTTTTTTGTTTGTTTGTTTGTTTTTTGGTATCTTCCCCTTTTCCTGCTCATGTTCAGCCAGTTCCTCTGACTCTCTGTGTAACATTTTCTAGGGCTGGTGAGAGAAGGAAGGGAGTAGCATGTTGGAATTTCAAATGTTGTGTCTTAGAGTGTTAAAATACAGTTAAGGGGGAGGTATAGGAAAAGCCACCCAGAAAATGAAAATAGGTTTAAACCTGAAGCTTCAGTGTAGTTTCCTATAGTCACTGAAAAAAGAATTTTTAAGTGCACCAGTTTTATAGCTTACTATAGTCATGGAATCATAAACAGCTGTTACAGTCTGAAAACATGAAGTGGCATTTGAAAATCTTATAGCACACCCTATAGGTGATTATAATAGTCTGACTTTACAATAAGCTGGTGTCTTAGTATCTTGATGTTATAAGCTTCTGGTATTACAAGGGCTTTAGGCTGCAGAGCCTTGTTTCACCAGGTTCTGTAGAATTAATCATGAAAACAAATTTCTTATCACCATAATGGCAGCCCACTAGTATCTACATTATGGACACTTGGAGGTATGGAAAGTGCAGGGATAATGGAATTTCTTGTTGGACTTCCAGGGCCCTAGAACTCATAAACCCTGGAAGACAGATTGTTTACAGATTGGGGGGATGTGGAAACAGTTGTTAAATGTTGTAAGTATAGGGAGATAGGACATACAGAAATCAGGTAATTCATCCATCACATCATCACAACTCCACACCACTCTGGGCACTAGACAGCAAAGAACAACAATCATTATGGATTTCCCTCCATAGATGCAAATTGGCATAAGACTGGTTTGGCTGGGTGAGCATTCAGAATTATTTTGCGTATGTTCTTAATATGTTCTTAGAGGCTAAGAAATTTGGTTTTTTTAAAATATATTTTTACTTTTAAGAACTGAAATATTTTAAGATGTATTCCGAGCTTTAAAATGTACCATTAGGCTACCAGCTTCTAGATTTTTAGAATGTAATTGAAAACATTCTTTTTGATATTTTATTGTATTTTTCCTCCTCTATGTTGGATTGAATTCTGAATTATGTGTTTGCCTAACACTTACATTAGTTTTTATGTATTTTTAAATATTTGTGCCAACCAATTTTTTTTCATAGTTGTGAAATTTTTGGATTTTGTAACAGCTGTAAGGTATTTTGTGTATATGGAACATAGAAGTAATGTAGATAAATAAAGCTTGTACAACTAGACAAGCTGAAGTTGCCTGAAATCATTGTAACAGTGAAAAGACTTATATCTTGATAGATGAATTTTGGTATGATTGTCAATAACTGTTTGGTTTCATTCTGGAATTAACCCATTTTTGGGATAATGGCAGCTCTAATGAACACAGACTTCTGATTTTCCCCTGGAGGTCTGTAGGACTCAGGGAGGGTCAGGCATCAGATGTATCTGATCTGACAGGCAAATCCATTTGCAGAAGGTTAGTTCTACCCACCTAAACCTGAATCCAACTAGATGAAATAAATTAGTTTTTCCCAGTAAGTTCTCACAGAATAGCCATCTCTTCCCCTCTCCCTGTTTTCTTCTTGAGGGGAAACAGGTCCATAGAGTTGCACATACAGTAGACACTCTTTATTTGGAACACTAAAACAAGTACTGACTACATGTTAAGAAAGACATTAAATAACATTAATGAATATAAATTAAATTACCACTTTTTGGGTAAGACTGATATATCTAAGTTATAAATTAAATAAATTAGAACAAAGTTAAAAAAAACACAGCAGTGATCAGATAATCAAGTGTCCCATCTCAATACTGTTTAAAGCTATTATAATTAAAACCTAAAGTAGATACCTCTGAACATGCAAGCTTTCTCGCTAACTAGCCATTGATACATTTTATTCTTCAACAAATTTACTTATTAAGATTTCTGACTTCAGTGTGTTTAGTACATGTTATTATACATGTTTGAACAGAGGGGTTTTTTTTTAGTGTAGTTTAAAATCTGACCGAAAATAACTTGGCATAGGATTATGCAACCAGTTTCTAATCTGTATTCCCAAGTAGTGATAGACAGAATTTTGGCTTGTAGAGTCTCTTTTGTTTTTTGCCATGTTCTGGAATCCATTGGAAGATAGCCACTTAACAGAGATGGATTAACTACCACTGCTGGCTTCCCATGCCCAACTGGAGATGACTATTGACCATGTGCTAGCCGCTTGTATTGTTCATTCACAGGAGTCAAAAGTAAAATACAAGGGACCTGTATGTTGTCTCAAGTGAATGGAAAGTTCACTCCGGAATGCTTCCCAGAATTAGTTATTGTTCTCAAAGGCTCTGCAGCAAAGAAGCTGATATGGGAAAGCTTCTCTGAAAATCAGAACACATCTGGTTTAGCTATCTTGTTCACTTAGCTAGAACTGTTACACAATAAAGGGCAGGATTATGTGTGTGATGGTATGTTGCAATTCACATGTGGCCTGTTGGAATTACACTAACACTTGTAAAACCTCCTCCTCATAAATCCTTGATCAGCCAGAGAAGAATGAGGTATACAGGGTTGATTCAGGATCACAGCTGAATCTGTTAACAAGTTTGCTGAGATGTCAGAGACATGTGCCAAATGTATGGACTGAATTGTTTGCATAGTTTGCAGTCCTTTAACTTTTCCGCTTTGTGATTTCTTCAGAAGTTATTTCCCCAGAGAAGTGTGAACAGCAGTGTGTCCGTTGATGGATAAACACGACGCCATTTCTGCTCTTTTGTTAAAAGAAGCTGTGGCCCACAGAAACAAGGATGAGGAGGCTTCTCAGTCTGCCTCAAAGGCACCGTTTGTGGCTCCCAGGTATTCTGACTTCTTTTTATGCTTCATCCATATTTTTCGCAGGAGGCTGGGCGTGCCATACAAAGTGCTCGTTGTCAAGGGTAAAGAGGCCTCATTTCCTTGAATTGCACTCAGTTCTTCTTCAGTATTTTTCCGTGAGAGCCTTCCATGCCTATGGTTGAAAGTAGAACAAATTCTAAGCTTCAGTTGCTCCAGAATAATTAAAAGACTGCACAAATGATTTGGTAAAATTGCCAAGAATATGTTTTGCCAGTTCTATTTTTGTGGAAATACTATTTTTGGCCTTCTAGATTTTGTAATATTCTGGAACGTGGACAACCACCTTTTCCTTCAGGTCAAATCACTGCAGAACAAAAGGAGACCTACCTTGGCCACTGCACTCCCCTTCATATACATAGTACTCCAGCTAAAGTATACATATATGCATTTTCATACAGAATACATGGATGCCCTTCCGTTTAATTCACACATATATGTGCACACATGTTGCAATAGTTATTAATAATAATTATTATAACTCAGTCCCCCAATCAACATGGGGGATTCTAGGAGCTGAAATCCAGAAAGTAATCTTTTGAGGATGCATGTTTGTGTGGGCGTGCACCCCCCACCCCATACGACACCCATGGCATATTTAGGCTTGATAGAATATGACACTTTCTCAGGTCTTCTGTTGCAAAGGGGTACTTTGGACAGGGTTTGCAGAAGATGGGAAGTGTTTCCTGTTCCTCTACAGGCAGCATGTTCCCTACACCTCTGCTGTGTACTGAAAGCAAATTATTGATGTGAGTACAAGGTCCCTAGGTTACCAAAATGGCACCAACTATGTACAAGAAAGATGTATCAGCAGGCACAGAATCTGGAGATTTGCAGCAGTATTAATAGCATTTTACACCAACTACAAATATGTGTGCTGTGCCTGGTGGGATGGGAAACAAGAGTCAGGAAGGCGATGTACAATTATGACTGACTGGCTGTTGGAGAAGAGTGGAATTCAATGGGGGTTATCATAGAATGGGTTATGTCTAGAGACCAATACATTACAAAATTGTATTTCCAAACATCCCACAGATTAAAGCAGTCCCCATTCTCTTAAGATTTACAGAACTTTGGAGTGTGCCAGAGAATATGGGTTGGGTAGGGTGATGGCAACACTGTGGGCTTCCTTAGTTTGGCTGAATGTGACAGACACACAAAAAAGTGCTCAGCAATGGGGTAGGTATTTTCTTATTTCTTCTTTATATAACACTGTAAGTGCAGCAGCTTATGCGAAAGGGGCATTTTTAAACACAAGTGGCTCATGGGCCTAGCAGTGCCTGTCCCACCCTGAAAGTTTAGGATGAGGTATCTCCTCCTCAGAGCATAGCTATCTCTCACTTTTACCCTTATGGCCAAACTTTTAAAGAGCCTAGTTTATAAAATGATGCAAGCCCCTCAAACATAACCAAGTAATTGCAAATGCATCTACAGTTAAACTTGTTTAACAGCATTTCCTTCAATCTGGGGAAGTGTAGCTCAGTGGTAGGTCAGAGTCTCTAATTGAATTCTCAGAACCTTTGTCCAACTACAATTCCCACAGTTCTTTGAAGAAACCATAATACATACAAATACTTACAGAGCAAAGAACCCCAATACTTCAGGCAAATGCAACTAATCATTGGGTCAGAGGAAACTATACTTGGGCTCAGTGTTATTTATAACTTCGACCCACTAGATATTTTAACATACATCAATCATGGGCAATATTAAGGAATTTGGGGAACAGAAAATAACATACCCTTCTAAGAAAACACTATCCTTTGGTGCTTGTTCTGTGCTTGCAATCCGTCTTGCATTGTGACGTGATATGGGGGATGCCTGAGGCTGGTGAATCAAGTGGAAATTGAAAATATTATTACATTGGCATAAAACAGTCAAATACTATTTCAAATGCGAAAAACCCACAAACCTTGCCTTGCTAGTAATTGTACAGAAGACAGAACAATGACATCTTATCAACTCATTGGAGGCTCACTGTGATAATTTAGGTTTGAGTTATTTGCTCATCCATAAAATATCTATTTTACTTGATATGCTGTTAGCTGCCTTATAAACCAAAGGTGGTGTGGTTTTCTCAAAAAGTGGTGCAATAATAACGTAAGGTCAGAAATCTAGACAGCATGTTAGGAAGTTGAGGACGTCGTGCTGCTAGTCTCACAATCTCAGTTATCCTTTAATAAAATTACAGAATCTGATGAGCCAGACTGGGGTGAATCCAGAATTGCCAATGCATGAAACCTCTTTTCTCCCAAGGGAAGTACAACAATTCAGAGAAGCTTCCTTCCTGACAGAAGTCAGCAGGGAGGTGATTCTTTCCTGAGCTCCTTGTCCTCTTTGCATGCCTCTCTATTTTTTCAATGCCCTGGAGCACTTGGTTCCCAACGTTAGGTTTCCAGATGTTCTTGGATTACAACTCCCAGAAATCCTGGCCAACATGATGGGGAAGAGAAAATACGGCTTCTGGGAGTTTTGGTCCAAGAACATCTGGGGGCCCAAGATTGGGAACCAGAGTGCTCTCCCAGCCTTTTAGAGCATATTTTCAAATAATGGAGAGAAGAACTGCCAGGAGAAGGAAGAACTGCAATATTACTCCCTTGTCCCTCCCAGACCAGCCAATGATCCACTTCACTGAAAGGGCTTGTGGAAAACACACTGTAAAAAGAATTTAGCAAGAGAGAATGCTTGTGTCATTGCCTGGGGTTTTCTCTAGCTTTCTCTTTTAGGGCTTGTCTCTTTATTTTTGATCAATGCAATCTTATCTCATGATGTTCCATTCTCTTCTTTGCCACTGTATTGGAAGAAGGATCCAATCAAGAGTAACACAAAAGCATCCTTTGTAAGAGGATTAAGGCTGTTAAATGAAATGTTTACATGAGCCTGTGTGACAATCATGATTCACATCATATCTCACAGAAGTATCTGGCTTTCTTACTTACCGAAGATGCTGAATCTGTCTGGTTACTGCTACAGCTGAATGTCGATTGTTTTGAAATTCCTGCAACAATGTACAGTAGAAAAGAAACACTTTATTATCGAACAATAGTATATAGATAAATTGTACATTACAGAGAACTGTGCTATAGTGTGTGCACTAATATAATCTAATAATTTTTATGAGCACAAATATAATTTGGGTCCTTTTGGTGTTTGTGGAATGAGAAATTAAAGTGATAAGTGGAGGTGAAAACAGGTCAACTGGAAATACTGCTCTCTATGTCTTCTTTCTTAAAGACAAAGTTATCTGAAAGAAAAGTGATGGTGATGATGGCGTTTTAGCATGATATCTGGGGAAAAACATATTCTGAACATCTTCATATCTGTGGGTGTGCGGGATATTTTCCCTTCAATGGGCATGTTCATTATCGATTTAGCGAACTTTCTTCTTGAACTCTCTTGTTCAATGCAATAACCAGATCTGCTTTGTTTGTATAAGCTAATATATACCCTTTTGCTACCATTGTTCCTATCATCTTCATTTAATGGAATCTCTTTTTTTTAATGTGGAGAAACCTCTTTTTCTGATCAACATTGACTTTTTCAGAGAGGAAAAGCTTCCTGCTTTTCAGATGGAAATGTGGCTCCATCAGAAATGTTCAAATTGCTCATGCTGCAGCAGATTTGTCAGGCTTCTACAATCTCTTTCAACAAAAAGCCAGTTTTTCTTGCAAGAGATTAATGGGGGCACCCGTCTGGACAATTAGTGAGCCTGGGCAAACAATGAAACATTGGGACATACCATGTGTTGCACGGCATTTGGTAGGACTAGAGAAGAATCGTTGTTGCCTGTTCTGCAGATGGCCAAAGCCTTGTCCACTTTCATCTTTGCAGAAGACTTGAATGAAATCCCCTTCATGTGGCCTGTCTTCTGTTCCCTGAGGATGGTAGTCAGACACTGCAATCACCTAGGAAGGGAAGGTGAAAGTGTCTCAAGATATACTATGTGCCAGGTGTAGCTTCAATGTCTCATACCAAAAAAATCTGTTCTAATGTAAGATTTATAGTGCTGTTCTCTCTGCCTGTAAAATTTAAACAATTATGAAATGATCTTAAGGGGAGCTCACTTAAACACATTGATTAAGAAAATGTTTGTAGGAAATTGTAAAGTTTTGTGTGATATATAATGAAATACATATACATACATATACACTATATACATAGCCCACTGATTTATGTAGGCCCACACTGTCCTCTGCAGTGCAATATTTCTATTCATATATTCCTTACAAAGAAATAAAGGCATAACAAAGTATAAATACATTTACACAGGAGTGCCTTGCCATCAACACAGACCCAGACTATTTATAGAAATATAGAAAATAATAATTATATTAAAGAATAATAATTATCGATCGATCGATCGATAGATAGATAGATAGCATTGCAGAGGACAGTGTGGGCCTACATAAATCAGTGGGCTGCATGTGACCAGTCAGCTACATATTGCCCATCCCCCCATGTGTGTGTGTGTGTGTGTGTGTGTGTGTGTGTGTGTGTGTGTGTGTGTGTGTGTGTGTGTGTACACACACATACACGTCAGGATGATACATCTCTTTGCAGGTAGGGTGGTATCCAATGGATGGCACATCATTTCCTCCCAAGTGTATTATTGCTGTGCACTAAACATGACACTATCAAGCTCTAATATCTGGGTTTCTGCCTTGAAATACATAAGAATTTCATCTCACTGTATAGTTTTCTATTGTGAAGACAAATATATTACTACTTATTCTCTGAATGGATTTATGCTTCACATCTTGGAATGCTATTTATTTAACATACACAAACACACATGTACACTTATTGTAAACCACCCAGAGTAAATCTATTATGGGAAAAGACCAGGTCATTTCCCATCTTATGTGATTTCCTGAATTCAGGCATAGAAGAACCTCTGTCCCAGCTGAGGAGTCACAACTGTAATGCCTCTTTAATGAAAGAGTGTGTTTGCTTTTAAAGCAGAATGCTATATAGAATATTGGGAACAGAACCGAAGAGGCTGATACACAAAATCTGCCTTCCTTATATAGAAATAAAGGCATAACAAAGTATAAATACATTTACACAGGAGTGCCTTGCCATCAACACAGACTATAACTACACATAAAAGAATATTACTGTATAGTTTGCTTGATTTACCACCCTCTGCAAAAAGGAACCAAATGTTATGAAACCGCTAATGTATACATGGGACCATGCTGCAAGATGCTGAGGTGCCTTATATAGGTCAGGAAACCAAGCCAAATACTAGCATAGTTTAGATCCAAACAAGCTTGCAAGCTTTTCTAGGTCATTATGAGCAGGCGAGGTAAATCGCTAGGATTATCTTGAAGTCACTTTTCTTTTCTAATTGTGTCAGAAAACTTAAGGTGAGTTTGGCTGTTATTCAACGGAATGGCTGTGTCATCCAAATTAATCAGTATTAGTAATCAGCTCTGTAAATTATTTGAATCGTGTTGTGTTTGTCCACCAGCTACTTGTTCATTTGCTGTTTAGTTGTTCCTCTTGCATGGACAAATCCTGAAATGGAAAGCCTTGCAAAACACCCTTTCTCCCTCTTTTCGCAGCATCTCTCAGGGATTCATAATTCTGTCTTAACAAACAGTGTTGCTGAACTGCCACACACCAACATTAGCAAAATTCCTGAGAAACCAGTGCAGAGATGCAGGAAGAAAGAAATGCAGGGCACTCCGAACACAAGCCTTGCAAAAAGCAAAGCACAATGCCACCTTGGGGGAGCTTAACCTCATGTTAATTCCAGAAAATGTAAATTAATTTTACAGTGCAGGGGTCCCACCCCTTCTTCATTCCAAGAATGAAAGCTCTTTTTCTAGAAACTATAAAGCCTAAGACCTAGTCAAAGTTAAGCAAATACAACCTCAACTGCATTTTAGCCCTCTGTTGAAATTCATAGGCATTAAAAGTAAATGCAGCAGATAAAGCTAATACCAGGGCAAGATGAAGAATAGATTGAAGACTGGCACACTTGTAATATTGTTAGCAAATGCTTAATTGGGAATCTGCAGGACCAAGGGTGCACAGGAAAATATTCCTTAAGCATACAGTATTTGCTACCAAGAAATGGTTAACTAGAAGGCATCTGAGGGCAGTAATTCACAGGGGTAGGAGTCATATGACTGAGCAGCACTTAACACTGCCTTGGCTCACTCAATGCCTATTGCTGTTAAAGACTCTGGCCGGCTTCCAGGAGGCTTGCTATTTTTGCTTTGTCTGAGATTAAACAAACACATTTATCAGGATTACCAAGGTAAAAGACCTCAGGTCATCTCAGGCAAAGTTGCAGTGTTAACAGGTAAAGGAGCCATCTTTGCAGTTCCCTCCTGTTTTGCATTGCGAAAGAATCTTGACCCCCCCTTTTCTGTTACATATTTACCATAAAGTTTCGATACATTTTTTAATTTTAGGAGTTTGAAACATAGCACCCTTTTTAAAAAAAATCACCTATAGGACAGTTTATTCTACAAGCTGAGACATACAATTAATTTGAGCCAAGGTTATGCTCTTGGAACGTTTCAAATTCTGAATGCAATTCAAGTTGCTCCCAAACACATGCAGAAGGAATTGGTGAAAATAGTGAAGCTTACATGCTAAACGACACATGGTTTTCCAATGTGCTTGATGCTGTGTTTATCCTCTAAATGCTTAGTCCCAGGCCTGTGTTTGTCAAGATAAGATGAAAAGTGACAAGGCTGTCTTTGCCATTAAGACACAGAGAGAGGCAGCATGAAAATGCAGCATATGAACTCTACTGTGGCATTAAGGAATTCAGATTTCTCTAACCAGCTAGTGTTGAGCTCCTAGCACTACCCTCTCTGAAGTTCCTGCTTTTGTATGTTGGTTCTACACATGAATAAGAACCCTAGAAAATCTGGGTTAGCAGAACTTACATATGAGCAAAAAACTTCTCTTCTGACTGCTCAGTCATTGCATGAAGAAGGCAGCAACGGAGGGGTTGGACCTAGGTGCCCCACTCTGGTTGTGTAGAGGAAACTGGATCCACGGATACTTTAGTAGTGGTTTTGTTAGTTATTTTATTTAATTTTACAGTTTTTTCCTCTTTGGTGGACATTTGTGAGATCTTCTGTCCCAGGTGCTGAACCAACTGGCCCAGTGTTGGAAGCTATTGTTCACCACTATTGACTGCAAGGAGGTGCAGCTTGTTAGTTACCTTAGATAGCAACATATCTTGGGGCAGCCATGATAGTGAGATGCGGGTAAGTGGATGCCATCTGATTCCCCTTTGCACATTCTTGCTACACAGTTTATCCTCAGTAGGACTCCACAAGCAGAACTAAGCTCAGCTGACATTGAGGGAAATGGTTTTAAATGGTACAGTACAGGACATTTGTAGTTCAAAATATGAAGTACTATTTTTACTGTCTTAAAAGTAGTTCCCATTCCCATAAGGGAAGTCATGGACATCTATCTTTCTATCTTAACATCTAGTTTAGCATTAGTAATATCAGTTTAATTACATGAAACTAAAGTGGTGATGCTGCAAGTTAAACTGCAGAAGCCTCTGTGCTGCATGGTCAGAAGACCCAGCAGTCATAAGATCGAATCCACCCGACAGAGTGAGCTCCCGTGGCTTGTCCCAGCTCCTGCCAACCTGCAGATCTAAAGTATGTAAAAATGCAAGTAGATAAATAGGTACCACTACAGTGGGGAGGTAATGGCGTTCTGTGTCTAGTCGCACTGGCCATGTGACCACAGAAACTGTCTACAGACAAATGCTGGCTCTATGGCTTAGAGACGAGGATGAGCACCCCCCCCTAGAATCGGACACGACTGGACTAAATGTCAAGGGGAATCTTTACCTTTACCTAAAGTTGTATAATACGTAATTAATTTTGGAACTCTGAGCAAGTACTTTGTTCTCTCTTATGCACAAATGAACAAAATTATGCAAGTGAACATCACCTTTTAGTAAATTTAACCAATCTCCAATCCTTCTTGCTTTTCCAGGTATGTTAAACAGAGGCTATGAAGTAGCCCAGACTGAGATATAATTCCTGTTAATTTATTTAAAGTCAAGTTTCTGTTGTGAATAGAATTAATTGAAAGATGTTCCCCAATCCTCCATGCTATTTGTGAACTATGCCAGCTCTCTTTCTGTGCAGTATATGTGCCAGTTCCTCCCCAGAGACCTGAGAGATACTGTATGTGTTCAACTTAGGATGATACATGTGGGATCCCCTTTAGTCTAAAAATTTCCTTACCTTTTTTGATAGGATGCATTGTGTGCTTTTGGTTTTTCTTCTGACTGGGCTACATGCTACAAAAAGAACGGAAACACTGTCAGACTGAAGCTCAGATACCATTTAAGTACTCTTAAATGAGCTGCAGGCCTAGTATCCATACAAAGTATCTCACAAACAACCATGAATCCTCAGCAGGAAGTGGACTTTGAAAACTAGCAATGAATATACACAAAATCAAATATAGGTAGGTAGGTAGAATAGAATAGGGGTACAATTTTAGTGGTTACACCTCTGGTGCAAATTATGCAGTGGATCAAAGCACTGGCTCCTCTAAGTACTACCCAATGATTCACCAGTCTGGGCCTCAGATAATGATAACAAACCACTTCTCTCCAAGGATGCCCCAATTATTCTAAGTCAAGCACCCAGGAGAGAGTAAGGAGGATAGAGAAGAGAGCTTTAAAGAGTCATAGGAGAAGATTTATGCAGCTCCCCCACATGGACTGGAGTGAAGAATGCCTTCTTCTAGTCCATTCCAGGTACCACATGGAATTATGGAAATGTAGTTTTGTCCTGATTAGATGAGAAAAACACACGGGGAGTTATCCAAGCTACATGGCCTCTAGGGAGCATCCACTATCCTGCTACAGTGAAGACAGTAGCATGCAACATCCCACCTCCAGTCTATACGCAGGCCTCTAGTAAGCCAGGAACCTTAGTGTATCAGCACCCACTGCTGACAGCTGCAATGGTATCTCTTTAAGTATTTCTTTTCAGGCACTTTGGTCCCCACCAGGCTGCGGAAACTGGGATCTCCCACAACGCCCCACAGTGAGGTTATATTTGAGATACTGGGATAATGTCTTGGTGGCCATTCTGAGGTGCTGAGTGTTCTTCTAAGGCAGACACTTCATCTCCCTTTTGTCTTTCTGCCAGTAGGCAAAGAGCTGTCTAACTCAAGTAGGCTTTTTGCTTGCTCTTAAGTGGGTGGGTGTGTATTTTCTTTTATTGATGTGTTTTTGTGTTTTAAAAGTTTCTGGATTTTTTCAATGTATGCTTCATTTATATTTGTTCTATTTAATTGTCCTATTCTTGGGAGAAAGAGGGATATACAATGGATGGCTGGCTGGACGGCTGGCTGGCTGGCTGGCTGGATGGATGGCTGGATACAGAATTAATTACTTTAAAATCATAGCACCCAGCTATGTGGCACTAACTGGAGTGCTGGTTCTGCCACTTCCATCAAATAATTCTTCCAAAACCCATTAATCTAGGAGGAAACATATTGGCATATGCCCTCTAGAGGGAACTTTGCCACAGGAACTTAAAGATCTGAAATTGGCTCTTTAGATCAAGCACTTGGTGAAGTCAAAGATCCTGCTGAGAAATGTCATGGAGTCTAAAATGTCAGGATTGTATTCCTGACTATATTTGGAAATCAGTCTTATGAATGGCTACTATATATCAGCCTTCAAACAAAAATATTGACTATTGAGTGGTACAGAAGTAAATACACAAATAAATATTGCAAATTTTAGATTAAAGCAATATCATAAAAAACATTTATAGAAATAAAATGAGATGTAATGCAGGATGTAATGACTTTGCGGAACAGGACACAAGTGGGCTGCTCTGACTAAGAAGTCTGCATCATAGATTGTCACCTGCCTTGCCTCATTTGGTTGGATCCCCTAATAACCCTTGGGCATTACGATGTGGTTGATGGTCCTTTGCGAACCCTGGTTGCAAGCAACCAAAAGAGCTTTAAAGGTGAATACCAATGCTTTGAAATGTGCCCATAAGCAGAACTGGCAAAGTATATTCCTAGCAGATGGTCCCAGCTGGCAATCTCCAAGCTATATATCTGAATTAATTGCATTGGGTTACAGTTTTCAAAAGCAGCTCCATGTACAACACATTAATAGTACAACTTAGAGGTAACTATAGTTAACCATGGAAAGATTAAACAAGTATCCCACAATTTTGCCAGCAGATGCATGCCTAAAACATAATACAATAGCAACATGTTCATCATTATCATCATAATAACCTACTGAAAGTGGGAAACACTGAAACACTCAAGGCCTCCCCAAAAGCAGGATATTCAACACTGGCTTTTCAACATAAGAAGACTTTATGTAGATCTTCGCAGTCAAAGATACCTTTGAATTTTGAAAGAAACATATACCACATGAACAATTAATAAAGATGTGTATCTTTTGTTCTAAATCTAAGTGCTTGATATTAAACAATCAGAGTTGTCATTTGTCTTCTGTACTATATGTATCCAAAAAATGGAAGTGAGAAAAAAAATTGAAGTCCATTACAGGTAGTTTGCTGTAGATGTTAAACACAATGCCACAGTAATAGTTTCCAGATTTTTTAACATGTTTATACAATGAGATCATGTTGACTGAAATACAGTAAGTGCAATACAATTAAAACAATCTTCACATTGCAATAACCCACAGTATTAAAGATGATTGTGCCATGGATATGCACTGATACACAAACTGTTGTAATATACATATTTGATTACTGCAGTGCATTAGTGAGGGAGCTGCCTATGAGTAATACTAAGAAATATCATCTGGTTAAGAAAATGGTGAGCTGTTTGTTAATTACAACTTGCCAGCCTGTTTGATCATAAGCCCACTAGTAAGTCAGCAGTAATTCAAAAGCAGGCAAAACATAGCCTTTCAGATATTGGACTGAAGTTTCATTGTTCCCCAATATTGGTTCTGGTGGCTAGCATTGATGGACATTGTACAGCCAACAGTATCTGGCAGACTACAAGTTGTCCACATATGTTATGATAGGTCAATGGTTGCCTGCCTTGGATCCTCAGATGTTCTTGGACTGCAACCGGCTGGCACAGCTAGTGGAAGGCTCCTGGGAGTTGCAGTCCAAGAACATCTGGGGAACCAAGATTGGGAACACTGTGATAGGTGAATGGCATGATGTTGCCCATCAAAATACTGTGCTCATTTTTGGATGGGCAACATCCAATTCATCTTCCACCTCCAGTGCTGAGAAGCTGGTGAAGATCCTTGGGCAAATTATTATTTTCCACATAATCCAGTTTCTAATCCAATTTGAGGATCGGATGTGGTGGCAAATATAGTTTCCCAAACAGAATTGTATCATATTTTCTGTGCTGAAATTGTTCTGGAAATGCAAGTGGGGGTGGGCCCAGCCTACTGTGAAACTTGGTGAGATGGTTGCCTTTGGTGGCAACATGGTAGGAGTGGCAAATGCATTGTGCTGTTCTCCCTATTTTCACTGCCATCTTTTTCCTCTTCTTTGATGCCAATGCACGAGAGAAAAGGGGTTTAGGCACTTTCCTAGGTCACTCTCCCCACAGTGCCTTGAGTCTGAGGAAACCTCAGAAACTTCAGAATAAATGTGCAACATCTAGTAAAGCTCAATGCACTCAGTCATGGTCATAAGAGTGAGGGTTGGGAATGCAGGACCAGCTTCCCCGAATAGTGGAAGAAGAGAGTGGGCATTTTGATTTCACCTGGTGGCACCTGCCCATCCTGCATCAATTTTTATCTTCTACCACTGGCAGGGCCAGAGCTATAACTAACAATTTTGGCACCCAGGACTTTGCCAGCGTATTGATTAAGGTTGATACATGAGATTGTTCTATGTGGTCAGAGGGCAGAGGAAGAGGGAGGAACACCTGGGTCTGGACTCCTCACAATTTGTGACAACTGTGGAGAACCAGCCTCTTTTATGTATCTTTCTGTTAAGGGAGAAAAGGCTGGAAGCACTGCAAGTGCTTTGTGTCCTTCCTGCAGCAGGTTCAGACCCTCTAGCAAAAAATGTTTGTTGCCTCTGAATTCCAATACCCTGAGTCAAATCTGCAGTGAACCCTCCACAATTACAGCTCTGGGCAGAGGAATGAACAGTAAAAACAGTTAGCATAAGAATATGTAGAGCTACCAAATAACCAGAAAAACACAGCCAGGTCTCATTGCTAAATACTTTCATCTGCTAATGGCTACAAATTGATCTGTTGTTAAACAGGTGTGCACAGAGGCTTATTCTAGAGTTGCCAACCATTTTCAAAGCAAACTGAAATGTATGTTCTCTGAAGTTTTGTGTTAGTATTCAGAGTATAGTTGATTTAACTTTCATTGGCTTGCTTGTTCAAGTCTTACCTTTGAACAGTTAACCAACATACACATCACTACTGGTTTATGCAGTTGCCCCAGTTCGAAAATACAGTACCTTGCTGTGTGATATGATGGGAGCACTGTTGAAGGGCGATGGGAACTCTAAAATTGACCTCACAGATCAGAGTCCATAGTTCTTTGGATTCCAGTAGTATATAAGTATAACCTACTGTTGTGGATATTTACATTTTTATAGTTTTAGTAAAGCAAAGGTGTTGTGACTGTTTAGAACTACTTTTCCGTGTCAAACATTCCTCATTGTTCTAACAGGTTGCTGTAAATTCTGGCAATGAGCCTTGGCAAAGACTTTTGCAGAAGCAGGATGCTGGAAACAGCATGTGCAACTATAACAATCTTTCTGAGGCTCTTCCAGATTCATTGGCAGATTGTGCAGAAAAGTGAAACAAATACCTGCACACCCATCTCATGGTTTCCAGCCCTGCTGATGTTTAAAGATTGGTTCGTGATACAGTACTATACCTATCCCCCAAAATTGAGGTTGTTCTCTGTTTTAAAAAATAGCCACTCAATACAATAATTCCAACAAGTCAAACAGCTGTGGAAGCAACTGCTAATAGCCAAACAAACTAATATCCAATGAAATATCCAATAATATGCTAATATCCAATAAAAGTTAGACTTTAAGGTGCCACCACATTTTTTTCTCTTTTTTTAAAAACTTTTTTCCATTTTTGTCTCTTTTTTTTTACTTTTTTTTCCACAGACTAACACAGCTTCCACAACTACTGCTAATATCCAGCATTTTAAGTGAATATATCAGTCCCATTAAAGTGATAGGGAAGAAGCACTTAAATCAAAATACCCATCCAGGAAAGGTTTTACTATTCATGCAAGCCTCCATTGTCATGCAGCTCATTTCTGGCATCTGAGTAGAAAGCAGAGGAAGAGACTGGAAATTATTTACATGTGCCCTGTTTTTCTAATACAATTTTAATTACATTAATGCTGTTCCAGATTAAACAGCAACAAGTCTTTTTACATCTGGCATATTTTCAGCCTATCCATGTAGCTGAAACTCGAGACATGTCTCTAGATAGAGAAAGCAAAACGCTGCTGTTCCAAAGGGTAGGAAGGAATTGCATGAACAATTCCTACAGAGGAAGTCTCTTCTGAAATTGGCCTTTTAAGGAACAGTTAGTTATGGGGATGACTTCCAGGCAACTTGCCCCCCTCAACACCTGTCATCATCACCCTGAAATAAGGACAAAGATAATTACTTTATACCAAAGCAAATTAATATCACAGTAAACTTTGTGCATTTTAGGATGTGGTGATATTTTTAGGACTCACTCTGTCCATCCTGGTTTCAGTTTCTCTGAGTGCATGAAAAGTGCCCTTCTGAACAATACATCTCAATGCAGGTACAATCCCATCACTGCTGGATAAAACATGGCACCCAGAAACAATACATGTTGACAGCAAAGCCAATAAATTTCCAGTGTTTGGTCCTTTTTATGGAAAAACACTATGCATGCTTTGGGCTGTTGTTAACTCAGTTGCTGGCTATAAGCCTTACTATACTGTTTTTTTTAGAAGTAAGCTGGCAGCAGAAGCAGCTCTTCTTGTGGCTGCCTGCCAGCTATCTATGACCAGGCCAGCAATTCTGATTATGATTTGCCAACACTGAATACATCCAGGGAGGATAAGCTTGTTAAGGGCAACTAGTTACAATGGCTTTTTGTTAGCTTCAATATCTAAGGTAGGAGGCCTCTCTGAAAAGCAGTCGCTGATGTCACTGCTGTTATTGTCCTGCTGGAGGGGTTCCCAGTGGGCTGTTGATGGGTCACTGAGGGAAACAGGATGCTGAACAGGACTTTGGATAGAACCTGCTTTTCTTATGTTCTTACAGCTCTCTCTGCCCTCTCTGGGACACTGGGTGGTCTTGCGTGGCTACGGACAACCCTGACCTTCTAGATATCATTGGACTGTATTGTCTATCACCATTGAGCAGGCTAACTAGGGTTCATGGCAGTTGCAGTCCTGTAACATCTGGAGAGCTGCAACTTGTCCACTCTTCTCCTACGTGAATAGATTATGGAACATTGTGCATGTGAAGTACTTGCTTTGTAGCTTGACTTGAAGGTTGCAGTAAAATAGAGGGCATACATGGATGTACTTTTATTGTGATCTTGTAATTTATTGTCACTCCCCACCACGAGTGGTGGTGTGTGCTGAATAATAGTTATGCCAAAGATGTGTAATTCAGACCTAGGCTTCTGAGCTTTTTAAACAGTCTTATCAACATCGACAGATGAAGGCTTTCATGCTACAGAACTGAGAAAAGGTTTGCTTGTGTGCAACTCTTTTTTTTATACAAAACAGTTTTCATACAAGACTGATTACTATCACTTCCATGTAATAATCTAAGCCTTATAGTGCAGTGCCCAACTGCATTACTGCTGAGTTCGGTCCCGGTGAGCTCAGGTAGCCAGCTCAAGGCTACCTGAACTCTGCTTCCCATCCTTTCGAGGTCAGTAAATTGAGTACCCAGCTCAGTGGGGGGAGAGACAATGTGTAGCCTGCATAAATAAACTGTAAACTGCCCAGAGAGTGCTTGAAGTGCTGTGAGGCAGTATGTTCCAGAAGGCTTTTAACTGAAATAATATTAGCTGTGGGTCCGAGGGCAATTTTATTATATATTTTAATTGTATTTTAAATGTTGCATTTTTATTGTATTTTAAATATTGTAAGCTGCCCAGAGACCTTTGGGTAGTGTGGGCGGCATATCAATAAAATAAAATAAAATAAAATAAAATAAAATAAACAAACAAATAAATAAATAAATACAATCAGCACAGTTTTGCTTTTTATGCCTGGCTAAAATGGCTAAAAAGGTGGGAAAATGTCTCAAGACATTTTGCTGCCTGAGGCAATGGACAAGATTGCTGCCTCTTAGAGTCCTTGCCACTGCTCCATACATAGATAGTACCCAGGCTGACAAGTGACATTCATTTCAGGTGCACAAGACAATCTCTGTGGTGGACACAGTGGCAGTAAGGCAGCAGGTGATAGCTCTGGCCTCCATTACTTTACCTCCACTGCCTGCCTCTATGTCTCTATGGTAACCTGATCAGGCTACTTTGCCTAACTCTAAGGCTGGCCTTTCCTTGTTTTAAAAAGTTCAGAGGATGAGTCATGGGCATCTTTAGAAAAGAAAGTTGGAGCATATTGCTTCCCATATAGGATATCTGTCCTGACTTACTCCAGATAAGGTCAGATTTAGTCACATTTTTTCTATTAAAATTTTACTTCAAAATCCTAAATTCTATCTCTAGTCTAAATTAGAATTGCCAGTCATTTCTCTCCATCAGTCATATCATGAGCCCTATGACTAGTAGCATGACAGACAGAAATTCACCTGTGATGAGCTTCCTGCTTATAAAATCTGAAACTGCTGAATGCATCATCATCATCATCATCATCATCATCATCATCATCATCATCTTAGAACTGCAGAGCTGGAAGAGAACCTATGGATCATCATGTCCAAACCCTGTCAGGAAGCACAGTGAGGAATGGAACTCCAACCTCTCCTAAACCACTGAGGTATCCATCAGTTCATGCATGTTACACTTCTCTTAAAAGCAATCCTGTGGAAAAGATTCTAGTTCCAAAGAAAGCCCAATTACTGGACATCAACTGGAGAAAATAAAGTTTTTTTTTAGATGATCTGGGTTGTCTGGGAAGAATGGGAGAAACCGCCCCCCCCCAAATAAGAACTGTTTTTAATTTGTGTCTTCCAACAAGCTTAGTCTCCTTGATGGAAAGCAACGATCTATAAGACAACAAAACAACAACAAACTGGGAATTTTGGAATGTACTTCTATGTATTTTTTTCAGAGGCACACTTTAGACTTAGGGAACTTGCTGGATAGCTTATTAGTATAGATATCTGGCTGCAGAGCCAGAGGTGGAGAGTTCGATTCCCTACTGTGCCTCCCAGGAAAAGAGGCATGGGCAAGCTGTACAGTCTGAGGGGAGGGCACTCTCAGAAGAACAGAATAATAAACCACTTCTGTGTATTCTGTACCTAAAAAATCTGGAAAGGTTCACCATACATCAGCATTGATTTGATGGCACATGATGATTATTATTATAGACTCTGTAGTGGACTGATGGCAAGAGACTTTGGTTGGCACATCTGCCCTTACTTAAACTGGATTAACTATCATTAAAAAGGTGTGTGTGTGTGTGTATTCATGTTTGAATATCTCCAGGGCAATAACTATATTCTTATCATAATTCTAGTGATAATTTTTAGTGGTGTTCAAAAACATTTCATAATAATACAACTGTAAAGCACAACTGAACATGGAAATAAATCCTGGATGGTATTTTCTTCTGCAAAGAGTGTCCCTTCTTTAATCAATCTCCTTTTGGCACCGGGAATTTAAAAACTATTGTTCTCATGAATGTATATTGATTTTTGTCTGACTTTTGTTCCTTGTAACAGACCAAGGCTAAGGTTAAATACAAAATCACTTCCACAAAGAACATTCATTTGAAAACAGTCCCTCCTTTGATCTAGTGGACCATGACTGAACAGAGCTGGGTTTTTTTTTACATCTAATTATTTAGGCTGTCATTTTCCATTTCCATAATATTATACCCAGTCAACTTAATAGAATAGTTGGAGGTCTAGCAGCAAAGCTGCATGCAATTAGGCAGCCGACTGCACACTGTTTCGACCGGTGGAAATAGTTCATCTAGCAGCTAGTGTATCTAGCCATCTGCCGGCATTCTCTCCGAAGAGGGGGGGAAATCAGATCGCAACACAGCAAACACAATACAGCAAGCATGCCTCTGAATGTACCATTTTGAAGGCATTTTTCCGTTAATGCCATTTCAATGAAACCCACAGCCCCGAGAATAGCTCTAGGTGAGAGAACATACTCACATTTGGAAGAAATCACAGTGAAGACTTCTAAATTTTCATCACTGCAGCTGTAAATCTGGTGCATTTTTCACCTCTCCCTCCTGGCTGCCTATCGGCTTCATGCAACTGCTCTGAACTTCTGGTAAATAGGTTTCGCTAATCCCATCTGGCTTTGTGATCATTGTCCAGGTCCACAAAGGACAGACTGATGCTATGATCTCATCTCATTCCATATTCTTCATCGCAACATTTTCTGCCCCCATCTGCCTTTGTATGAATTCTGCTCACGTTAGGGTTTAATTTTGCTCTTCCTTCAAACCTGAATGCTAGTAATATTTTATTTGCATAGCCCCTCTTGTTACCATACAATTGACAGACACCCCTCAAGAATACTAAGTAGTAAACTGAAGTAATGTTTGTCAATTGTAGATGGAGGAGAAATTATGAAATATGAGATTACTGGCTGCATTTTTTCTCTACTGTTTATTCTTCACTTTAGGCACTTTTTCATTTCAAGGACTAAAACAAAAGCATTCCTTTCTAAAAGCAACAACAAAGGAGAAACTGGTCAATGATACCTGCTGTGATAAAAGCACATTTTATTTTCAAACTTCTTTTTGTTTTACAAGCCAGTGGGAGAAAGTGCTTCTATACTGCCTAGTCTTTGAATGCAGAGATTGCATTTTCAAATATAGATGCTTAGCCTTAAGCACTCAAATCTACATTTAGCTCTGTTAATAAGTGGCCTGGTTTGCTGAGGTGTTGAGCTCCTTCTAAAGGCAACCAGACAGCAGCTGCACTTCTCTACCACTTACTCAAGAGTAAAGCCCTTTAACACTATTGCAAGTCTCCTCTCTTTTCCCAACTTTGATTCTCACACACCTAAGATCTAACATGTTTTCCACACTTTGGACTTTGCATCCTCATCACTAAAGTACTGCTGTGATGAGCACATTAGAAATGTCTTAGATGTAATAAAACATTTTGGACAAGGATCTATAGTGGCTGACAAGTTGCTGAGTAAGTGCATGCAAAAGCACTTTTTGTTTGAAGCTGTATGAAATGCTCATTCAGGGATAACCCAGTTCTGGGTCAGAAGCACAGGCTAGCATTTCACATTCTCTAGTGGTAGATGATGTAGAAATATAACTTGCTCCAGAGGGGAAATGGGGGTGGGGTAGAAAACAAACAAACAAACAAACAAACAAAAGACAGTAGGTTGCACTAGAAATATTTAGAGGAAGAAGCAACATTTGATGAATGAATCTGAGCCACAGAGAAGAGAGATATCGCATGACAGAAATGAAAAGACAAATTAGCTGAATATCTGCATCATTCAACTTTCCTATAGGATAATTTCCAAATTGTCCCATGGCACCAAATCTATCATGGTGGGAGGGAGGAAAAGCTGTTGTTTTAGAAAACACTGGAGTACTTAAAATGTTCAGGGAGCAATCAATACAACAGCTCTAAGTTCAATTAGTTTTTGATTTATTGTGCCACATGCTCTACTTGTATGACGGATGTCATTAACATCAGACTTGTTTGGTTTGTTCATCTGTCTCTGTCCAGTTTCTCTTGTACACAAACACACTAAACAGATGGGGGATTTCATGGCCACAAATGGAATTGTTTATCCTTCCATTGTTCTTGTGTCAAGCAATCAAACCAAATCCATTACCAACCAATAAAAAGATCAGGGCACTGTCTATTCAGAAGTGACCAGAGTGGAGGAGGTAAGACAACGGGGATTTCAAGCTTTTTAAAAATAATCAGAAATAATAGAGACACAAAGTGAACCATGGACAGAAATGGAAAAGTGTAACAGATTCTGTCTTTATTTCCTGCACCTGCCAGTTTTCAGATACTCAGTATGGAAAATGCTTACAGGGGTGTATCCAGATCTGTTGAAGCGAGACTTGTTTTTGCCCCTGAGATTAAGCCATTGAATTCTAAAGGAAGTTTCTACTATGATAGGTACCTCCCAGACTTTATAATAAAATATTGTTGCTTTCCTTATATGAAAAACAAAAGTTTAGTTGCCCTGATTATTGCAGCAGAAAACAAAATGCTTGGTTTGAGAAAAGCAGCTGGTGAACGCATTACTCCTGCTGCTTAAAAGCTGCCATCCTGGAGCAATGGTTTCCATTGAAAGGTTTCTAAGTTCTTCGTGTACTGAAGGTCACATTTCAGGCTGCAATTGATAAGATGAGGATACTAATGACCTAGGATAGTGCAACCTCTGGCACATCACGAAGCCCTGTTTTTTGATGTTATTTCCATGAAGAGTATCGGGATGTGGTGACGCTGTGGGTTAAACCACAGAAGCCTTTGTGTGCTGCAGGGTCAGAAGACCAGCAGTCGTAAGATCGAATCCATGCAACGGAGTGAGCTCCCGTCGCTTTGTCCTAGCTCCTCGCCAACCTAGCAGTTCGAAAGCATGTAAATGCGAGTAGATAAATAGGTACCACCTCGGTGGGAAGGTAAACAGCATTCCGCGTACAGCCGCGCTGGCCACGTGACAACGGAAACTGTCTTCGGACAAACGCTGGCTCTATGGCTTGGAAATGGGGATGAGTACCGCCCCCTAGAGTCGAACACAACTGACTAAAATGTCAAGGGGAACCTTTACCTTACCATAAAGAGTCTTCTACATGTAAGAGGCTTCTACAGACACTTCAGCATTCCGTGTACAGCCGCGCTGGCCACGTGACAACGGAAACTGTCTTCGGACAAACGCTGGCTCTATGGCTTGGAAATGGGGATGAGCACCGCCCCCTAGAGTCGAACACAACTGACTAAAACGTCAAGGGGAACCTTTACCTTACCATGAAGAGGCCCCACTTGTGATGTCAAATAATTTTCTCATCCACTCCACATGAGGTGTGCCACATTTTGCACAGAGTAGGGATAAAGAATGTTTAGCCCTCCCAGTCACGTACCCTCTAGTTTTCAGTCCTGCTGGGCGGGGCTCTGCCTTTCTCTCTCACAACTTCACCCCTGCATGCATGCGCAACTTCACCTCCACGCGCTGGGTTCCATTGCGACCAGAACCTAATGTGATCACTGTGCAGGGGAGGAAGGCAGCTGCGCGCAGGGAGGCAGAGACGCACATGTGCATATCCCCAGTTTAGAGGGAACCTTGCCTCCCAGTGCTTGGTTTTCAATTCCCATCTGCCCATCCAACTTGGACTGCGATGAAGGGCTTTGAAAGTTGTTGTCCCAAATATCTGGAGGACCAAAGGTTCCCCAGCCCTCATGTCAGGGAAGCCGGTGCTTCTCAAACAGGCCTATATGCAAAGGCTTCCCCACTTTGACAGTCAGGTTCCATGTGTGGAGGCCTAGAAGTGAGACCAGCAGTGCCGCCCTGCTGCTGCTACTTCTGTGCAGGGTCCCTTTTCACATGAATGATACACAAAAGGAGCTTATCTCATAATAAGGCAATTTTCTTGCTTTATGAGTGAGACCAGCAGTGCCGCCCTGCTGCTGCTACTTCTGTGCAGGGTCCCTTTTCACATGAATGATACACAAAAGGAGCTTATCTCATAATAAGGCAATTTTCTTGCTTTATTATATAGTTTTGTTGCTGTAAAATAGATGCTGATATTGGGCACTATCTCCATTATGCATGTTTTCAGTACTGGAACTAAAAATGAAGTATTACGCTTATTTAAGGATCTCTGAGTATGTGCAGAGTTCTCATAAGTAATTATAATTATGTATTCTGCAGCAAATGCTGTGACCTCCAGATAGTCTTGAGTCCAAGAACATCTCTAAATGCAATGGCGACAGACGTAATATTCTAACTCTGGATCATTGGTTAAAGAAGGTAAAATATAGAAGTAGCTGAACAATTCCCTTGCCAGAAACAACAATAACTGCAGCTTTTGCAAAAAGTATTTTATTTTGGTTTAACTTAGTATATAGTCATACTGGGTAGGTGTCCATTTCAATCTACTGGTGATGAAATAGTTGTATACTCTCAATAAGCTTAAAGGATGTCTGTAAGACTGGATCAACATTTTTATGGATCACCAGCTTTTTTCATATAAAAATTAGGTATTTGTTCCTTGGGGCAGCATCTAATAAACATTTGGGGCATGGGAAAGAATGACTGTTGCAACACTTGTTGAAAACTATCTGCCTCCATGTGCATTACATGAAGATATTGTTGGAACAAAGAACCAACTCATGTAGTAAAGTGACATGAACAGGGATGGGTGCAACAGGCAGATGGGTAACCATGCCACGGTGTCCCCTTTTGGCCAAAACCATGCTGTATCTGAAGAGGAATGTAACATTCCATTCACAGTCTTCTCCAACCTGAGACTTTCCGTTGAGCAAATCAGAAATGGCCACAATTCTTTTCAATGGGGTTTGTGCTTATACAAGAACGTACTAGATATGATCTTGCACAATACTTGAAAAAGCCACTGTGCTTGTGCAATAAAGTGTTGTGCCAGCATATGGGTGTGGCAGGATTCTGGACCAATGGATTTGGAGATGATTGACACTTTTAGATGTCTTTCTTTCTGTTTCTATCTATTCTTGATACTCCATCTTAGCTAGACCGAGGCAGATTTAATATACATGAAAGCCAGAGTTTACGGGCTTCTGTAAATAAGTTTAGCAGCCTTTCCCCCTCTTCTTTTTAAGTATCCTTAGACAGATCTTTCTAGTGAGTAAAAAGCAATTCCTGCCCCCCTCTTTACTATCTTTACTATCAGTTTCCAGAGTGGATTTTCTCAAAATTCATAAACTCTGCACTAGGGCACAGCACTCTCTGAATAAATGGCAAATAATTGTAACAGATATACCAGCACAGTTGCCAAGATCAGATCTTCACTGGTGAACAGCAAGATTGCCATGGAATACATGATCTACATTGGCAACCAGAGTGATATTCTCTGATATATCACATGCTTTTGCAAATGATCTCAAGACCCAGCTATGTCATCATCTGAAGGCTTTAGAAACTCATTACCTTATCTACTCCGAAGGCAAAAGGACAACCCTACTCCTTGGTGCTGAAATCCTGCACAAAAGTGCACCACCGGCTACATGCCTTCTTGCCCTCTGCAAGAATTTTGTAAGCCCTTAGCCCACCAGAGCCATTCAGGAGCAAATGGAGGGAGAAGTGGTGGTACATGGCTAGCATTCATCCCTGACGCTAGTGACAGCGGCCTGACATTGACTTTAAGGCAGCCAGTGGTGCATGGTGCTGCTGGAAGCCAATGTAATGAATGAGGCCAAGAGGTTGGGGTACAATGCATCAAAAGTCTCTCACAGAGAAGTCTAACTGAAATAAATGGGAGTCAATTGTTTTCAAAGCTACTAGCACAATTCTTTATTTCAAAACCAATAGTGGCCATATGAAGCATGTGGGCTCAGCCTCACTCATCCGGGTCATCCTTCTCTGTATATTTATTTATTTATTTATTTATTTTTATTTATATCCTGCCTATCTGGTCGGGTCAGGACCACTCTAGACAGGACTGGTTACCAGGTCTAAACCTTTACTTGCCTAGTTCTCATTGGATTCTTTACTCTCTTGCGTAACAGTAAATCTGATCGTTACTGAGCTACCTGAGCCTCCTTCTTACTCTTTGGTTCTTGGTATGGTGAGGATAAACAGCAAGTGTTTTCGGACTGAGGCAGTGAACTGAAACATTGCACAACTGAATTCACTGCTGAAAAGTAGCACAAATCAAACCAAGCAAAGAAGTGAAGAAAGTGAGTAGTCACTGCTTGGCACAGTGGCATCCAGAACCTCGATGACTATCAGAAATAAGATTTGCATTGTTAAAAAAATGAGTACGGTAGAAGATATGATATTTCTGACAAAAACTCCTCAAGAATCTTCCCATAAATCTGATGCATGAATTTGCAGATAAAGAGTAGATTGCTTCAAAACAAAACGAAAACAACATCATCCCACCTACAACCCAAAAGGCTTGTGACCTGGCTGTTTTTTACTTAACACTTTGGATTACAGCAAATATCTTTCTGGTGGAATTTTTGGAATACATAGGAAAAATGAGATGCTATTTTAAGAAGTCTCACCTATTGAATTCAATGCACTTGAGTTTTTAGTGCACATGCATTCAAATACAAGAATGTGTAAGAAAGAGGACTGGGGAAAATCCCATGTTGTGGTTAAATAAGGCAGCATTATATGCTTAAGCAGTCTGATGAAATATGTTTGGGTGAATCTGGCTCATTCCACATTCATTTCTGGCTGTCAAACTCTAGGCAATATTAAACTGTGTTTACAGAAACTTTGCCTCTAATGCTACGTGTATTATGATGACCTTAGTAGGGTTTCTAAGATATGTGAAACATTTAAGAAATGGTTTTACCATTGCTATCCATACCCAGTGAGCTTCCAGGCTAGCAGGGATTTGAATCCAGGTCTCCTGAAACTTAGTCTGACACTCTATCTGTTACACTATGGTGGCTCACATTTGTTTAAGATTACTGCTTGTCGAAAAGGGAACTCTCCAAATCATTTTCCTATTTCAGCTACATCTAAGCATAGGTGAACTGAATTTATGGATGACTTTGGTATAAAATTACCTTGCCTGGTTATGACTCTAATATATATTAATGGCAGTCCCTTAGGAAAGTCACATCGGTGACATAATAGATCCCACAAGCTATTCTTTCTGACCTTAGCCACTCTATGAAGTGTTAAGTACATGGCTTGCTTCTGTGAATCTGATTAAAGTAAATCAGCTCAGATAACAAGATCTATGAATGCTACAAATACATAGCGAGGAGGATTTCCAACCTTGTGAGCCAATATATATAGGGCAACCCTTTCTGCCCCCTCACTCGTGATGGCTATGCCAAGGATCTCCAAACTTTTCAGTGTGAGGGCCCCATCATATATTTTCCATATTTTCAAGAGCTGAAGGAATGCACATGCACACATGCCTGCCCGCACGCATGCATGCAGCATGCACAGGCTAAAGGGAATGGACCTGAGACTGTGGACCTGAGCCTGCAATGTTAGCCGGGTTTGATAAAAAGGCAAGGCGGGCAGGATGTGGCCAGCGGGCCGTAGTTTGGAGATCCCTGCTCTATGCAGTGCAAGATATCAAAAGAGATGGAAGACCTGCCATGTGTACATCCAATTCCTCTAGCTTTTTGGGCACTTTGAAAATTAATTCAGAGTATATACAACATGTTGACCTGGTAAGCTTTTCAACTGCACATTTCCATTTAACTCCATAATAAAGGAAGAATAACCCTTGGTTTGACACACTTTCCCATACAATTTCATTATTTTTGCTACCAACATGTCAGGGAAGTGTGATGGTTCACCTGCAATAGATGTATTCAAAGATTTTTCATCTGATGAAGATTCCGCAAGGAAAGCTGCTGTGACTTTTATAACATCTCCTAGTCCAGGAAGATCTCGATGGCCCGATCTTTGCCTTAGAAATCAGTAAGAAGCTGGTTTTGTGATCAAGTGCCAAAAGGATTTTGTTTCTCCTTAGCACTCTGGGACATAAGGATATTGCCTTTTACTGCATTCAGAGTTAATCGCATTGAAATTGTTCCCATATTTCTTCCTTATTTTAATGCTTGTGCCAGAAGTGTGTTTGTATGTGTGTGGACACATACACATATGTACACGGAGAGAGGGAGAGTACTTCCTCTGAAGAAAGAAATGGTCTCTCATTGAAGAGAGTAGAGCAATAAAATGTTACAGCTGTGTCCACAGCAACACCAACAATGGCAGACAATGGCTGGTGCCCTTTGAGTGCCTAGAAGCAAAGGGCACAACAATAGAAACAAGGGGAGCAGCCCAGTGCCATTTCTGAAGATCAATCCATCTTTAAGATGTGTTATCCAGTTTAGTTGCAGCTGTAAATCAGCATCTGAATAGCAAGGAGTGAACTTAAGCCCCTCGGGACAAGCCATTCAAATGTGCAACAGTTCAATTCAAAGGTCACCAAGGTGACTAACAGAGGCTCTCTCTATTATATGTGGGCAAGGCGTTTAAGCAAAACCAACTTCACAGAAGAGTTAGCATGGTTGGCTGGAACATGGCCCTCTTCATAAAGAATATTACATGGTTCTGTCAGGGAAAAAGGACTCAAGGCTGTTCCACATGCTTTACATTATAAAGATGTATTCAAATGATGTATAGAATGAAGTCATTTGCAAATTTCTTTGGATAGGGTTATACTGTATATGCAATCTTGCAACTGGGATGGTTGACTGCAGCTTCCTGATGGATGACTAAATAATCAGGGGCAAATACTGGTTTACAACAGTGTCATGTGTGAAGTGACCTTCGCTTCACTTATTAAGGACTGTGTGCACACTCATACACACGAAGATGCCAATATTTATATCCCAAACTTAAATCAGTGTCAAAGCAATAACAGCTTTCTCAAAGACCTTTAGATACAATTCTTTTGTGAGATGTCAAGGATATGCTCTCAGAAATCCAGGAAACCTCCCTATGAATATTCTTAAGAAAGGAATGTGAGACAGAACAATTTAAGTTTATAGTGTATACATGTTCTAACTCATCTTGAACCACAGCCTAACCTGATTTATGCTTAATGCAATCAATACTTTGTGTGTTTGTTAACATTCAGCAATTTCAGCATGGAACTCTTTTTGTCTCTCACTCATTTGTATCTTATTTTAAAGTCTGTGGAAATGTTTGAGCTAAAAAGACTTTTGGAACAAGTGATGGCATGCTAATGTGTCAGCTTTGCTCTCTTGCAGCTCTCTGATTTTTACACCAATCTGAAGATGAACACAAAGCCCACTACCACCATTTCCTCCTGACAGTGTCTTTTTATGAGCAATGAAGTGACTTTCAGACCCATATCCAGTATACTACCATAAAAGGTCCTGTAACACAGAAGGAGTGGGTGGCAGTCTTATTGAACCAAAAGTTCAAGGCAGTCATAAAAAAAAAAAACATTACAAAGCATCTTTTGTTTGAATGGGAGCCTTGGATGAGAAATGACTGTAGAGCACAGTGTTTTGCAAACCTGTAAAGTTTATTTTTATTTGTCACAACTGATTCAGAGGAAAATCAAGCTAGGAAATTAATGGTTATACTGGTGCATTTTTAAACCATGCACCAATAGAAGAATATAAAACAACAATGTAATATAACAGTAGGGCAAAATAAAAACAGCTTTTCTGTTACTTTTAAGACTTAAAATTCACAAGTGCATATTATAGTAAATCTATCAAACAGATTGCGACTTGATAGATCATACTACCTCTAGTTTGTCTGCGGAAGGGAAAGCTGTAATCAGTTTCCAATTAAACTAGACACCAGTAAATGAAAAGTAAACATTTCCGATTACAAAAGTGAGCATAAATTCTAAATAAAGAACAGTAATCATTTGAATTACTCCATCCCCTTTGAATAAAAGCTTACAAACTACTGAAAAATATTAGATTGTGTGATGCTAATAGAGTTTCATAGAAGCTTCAAATAAGGCAGATAATTCTTCTTCAGTTTGGGAACGTGGAGATAATTTAGTCACTCTTTCCTTTAAAAAGAAAAAATATATTACATAAAGACTTCAACAAACGCATCATTTAAATGTCACAACTTATGGAGGAATCCATTCAACTAAACTGCACAACATAACTACAGATTCTATGATTCTCTCTCTCAGATCAACTGACCCGCAAGAACATTAATTTGTATTAACAAGTGACCCCTTCAAACAATACCCAAATTTCAAGTTTACAATCTCCTTTCTTGTTGTGATGTTTTAAAGCTTTCTATACCAGTCTGTCACCTTGTTCCCAGAAATGGTTTGTTTTGTGTTGACAATTCAAAATTTAAAAATGACAAAAGATCATTCAATTGTGCATGCATAGCATATTAAGACTTAGAGATGTTTTAGAAATCAGTAACAGATTGAAGTGAGTGCCCTTGAAAATAATTCTACTGAAATCTATTTGAACCCTTTGTGCTATGGTTAAATCTCTCAGTGCTAATGAGGCAATCTTAAGCAAGCATAATTTACCATAAGACTCATTGATTTCAGTGGCATGGGTTGGATTGTGCTTTACATGAGGAAAAGGAAGGCATGCAGGTGTCTATTTCTGTTTTTCCAGTTTTTTACACTAAGCTTCAACTACCCTCCCAGCCACTTTAATCAGCTCCATGTGGCAGAAATTCTGGGAGCGGAATTGTATATTAATGGCACCATTTTTGACATGATTTGTACAATTTGGGATAGATTTGGTGGGTAGTGTGGAGGTGTTCTTTCTAATCCTGCTTTCCGATATACGCCTTGTGCAGACCCTAATCCTTATGTCTTGCTTGTTGGGCCTGGCGGTATAAAACACATATGGTCAGATATCCGCTCCTCACTAAAACCAAAATAAATCAGAGAGTTCTTTTTTTAAAGTGGTGCTAGACTGAGAGTTGCTTCTGGTTTTGTTTTTTGAAGTTGGTCACAATTGATTATTTTATTTATTTATTTTATTTATTTATTATGTGTGTTTGTGTGTGCATCTCTCTCTCTGTGTGTGTAAATTTGCTGCTGCACTCCAGGAGCCTACTCATCCATGCCACAGAAGTACCATTCAGAAAATCTAGTGTTCTCTTACTAACTGCTTAATCAGTACCGCCTTCTGTTACCTATTAATGATGTTTTCAGCATAAACAAAGAACCCCCAGAAAATACCAGAATCTCATTATGCCTTTGTCTACTCTCTAATCTCCCAGCAATGATGCCATCTTTGTGTATATAACAGAAATATTTATGCTTGTATTAATCAAAACACACTTTCAGATCCAAGAATTTATAATTTCAAAGAAATAGATACAAAGGACTCACTAACTATCTAGGCAATTAATCTGCACTTGCATTTGCTGATCAGCAGACCCAGAGCTGGGAAAAGGTAGTCATTTGAATTACAACTCCCAGAATCTCCAGCCAGTAGTGCAGTACACATGCTGGATGAGGATTCTCAAAGTACGTAGTAATAAAAAAGAAAAGAAAAGTAACATTCTGAAGCTCTGTAGCAACTGCTCAAGCTGCAAAACAAATTTGTTTTGGAACTGAAAGGAGGTTGTATGATGCGAATGGGTTGCCATTCATTAAAAAAAGTGAAAATCCACTGGGTACACTCAAGTCTTTTGGGCAACGTAAGTGCACTCCTTATATCCTAATTTACATTAGTGTACCAGACTAACAAACTAATGATCACAACTGGCTTGTATAGAAGGAGGGCAAGGTTTCCCTTGAAATAGTACAGTTGATTGGACTAGGAAAGCTGTGGCTCTTCATATATTGTTGGACTAAAACTTCCATCAATCCCAACATGCATGACCAATAGTCATGAATGATGGGAGTTGTAGTCCCATAAAGCATCTTGAAGGCTATAAATTTCCCTTCCCAGACAGTAATATCTCCTTTCCTCCTTCTCTGCCTACCCAAGCTAATCAAGACAGGTAATTACTACAGTTTGGATGAGGTTCAGTTGTAAAAACTCCCTCTTTTAAGGGAGTTTTTTTTTTAAATCATCAGATGGCCCTTCCCGAGGAATGGAGAAAAGGACTTGTGAAAAAACATCACAAGCATGCTCTGGATAGTCCTATGCAAATGCCAGATGCAGGGGAGGGGGTATCAGGAGACAGCTATCTAGTTGTCTTGTGTGCTCCCAGAGGCATCTGGTGGAGCCACTGTGAGATACAGGAAGCTGGACTAGATGGGCCCTTGGCCTGATCTAGCAGGGCACTTAAGTTCTTATGTTCTCTGTTTTCCACCAAAGGTCTTCCGCAAAATACACTGGGCTTAATCAACAGTTTATTCATTCCTTATTGTCTGCTGTCAGAATAATAATAAAGGCAAGAAAGAAAACTGCTTTAAAGATATCTGTCCTCTCCTTTCTGGCCTACCTGAGGCAGTGTGCCTTTAACTAAGGCAGGGATATCAGCTGTGGAATAACCAAGAGCAGCTAAGCCATCATCAACATTCAGATCAAACAAGAATTTCCGGAGAGTGTCTGCTAAGATAAGCCCAGAGTCTTTCATTTTGGCTGTGCTGATGTTCGCTCCTAAAATAAGAGGAAAAACTTTAAGCAGCTAAAGGAAAATTTCATTTATTTATCAATAATAAATAAACTAAAATTGAATAGAGGGAGAACACATACACATGGGTGCATACACAAAGCTGTCATTCCCCTGGAGACAAGTTAAAGTGAAAGGTGATAAAGCCATTAATCAGTTAATAAATCGATCAAACAAATACAATCAAAAGTAGTTTGGCAGAGCAGAAAACAATGTTAATTGGTATTAATAACTTGCAAACCAAGTTATTCTACCATTTATAATATTACTAGTTACATACTCATCCATTGGATGGCTAGTGTGTGGATGATAGCGATTCCAATAGGAAAGTATGTGGACCATAAAAAGGTGTTGAAAATAACTTAGAATAGCTTCTCCTGTACAGTAGTACCTCGGTTTGCGAAACGGATCAGTTCTACACAATGTTACGTAGTACAGAAATTTCGCAAACCAAAACGCCAATTGTGCTATGAAAGGGGTGGCGCTATGGGTGCAATGCACCCTGGGAAAACCCTTTCATAGTGTGGGAAAAAAAGAAAGAAAACAATGTAAACTGGGGCTGTATTTCTTATGGATTTCGGTTCGAAAACCAAAAATTACATAAACTGAGGCGTTCGTAAACCGAGGTACTACTGTACTCCCACAATAGCTGTAGGAAGAATGTAGCGAGACAAACTGCACTAAGCCAGAGCCTGAGAGAGTTATTTTTTGAAGACTACAGATCCCAGAATTCACAGCCAGGAAGGCCTCTGATGCCACTCCCTCAATTATTCCAGGCTCTGAACTAAGAATAGAAGACTTCCTTTTTCTCCCTGGATGGCTGATGATGTGTTCTTGCAGGTCGCTTGTCTCTGGAAAGGCTAGCCAAATGCAAACACAGTCTGAGCTTGGGGGCTGTGTGCTCCCTATCCATTGTGCTTGCACCTCAAGAGGAGAGGAAGAGACAACACACTGGAAGAACATTGCAACCGAAACAATGGAAGCCAGAGAACTGGCACATATGTAACATTGAAACTCATCAGGCTAGCATATTTGAAAATAGTACAGGAGGACAGCACCACTGCCTTTTTTCTTTTAATCTCTTAAAATAAAGTAAAACTTGGAATGCTATTGTTCCTTGTCAATCAAAATGACATGCTGACCGACAGTTTTGAAATGCAATGAAATTGGCTTTTATGAATTTTCCTGCTTACCGTAGGTGACAGGTTTCTATAACTTCCAATCCAGACATAGGTGCTGCGTGCATTGAAAGAAATCCAGCCATACACAGGGGGAACTTTGAAAAGTTTCTGAAACCTTTAAACCCTCTGTATGCCAGTTTTGAGATCCTTCCAAATGAAACAATGTAAATTTGTTGTAAATGCATTAGTATTTCCTGCTGTCACAGAGTGTGGGGGAGCTGACACACATTTAACTCATCATTCCTAAAAACACCATTAATGTATACTCTTACATGTTATCAACAGAATCATACCCATAATCTGGGCAGCTTCCAAGTGACGTTCAGGGCACATTGGTGCTGTGAAAGTAAACACTGCTGGGGATGTGAGGACAACAGAAAGGCCATGTGGCTGGAAGAAAGCAGAACACATAGGGTACCTTCATCACACTTGTTGCTATGTCATGGGAGAATGTGTCTGAAAATAACAGTAGCATTGTCATGTGTAGTTACAGGCAAATGACTAATAGGTATTACCACTAAAGAATGATCCACATTATAATCCTTTGCTTTATAATTCTTCACCAAGCCAGAAATTGGGTAGGACATGCCATGGCTGCAGAAAGAAAGAAGGGAAGAAGTATTAAAACACAGGGAAGATATCAGTGCAGCAAACAACTAGGAAATGCACACATCATTCATAGTATAATTGATCAGAGGTGAGGCAGGAGGCAAATACCCTTGATTCTTTCAGTTCATATTTACTCAGTAGTGGCTGGTCCAACTGAGGCTCAGATCACACCTAGCCAGCCCCCTTCTGCTTGCCTTCTTACCAAAGGTCCTGCCTGTGTTCCCCCTCCTGCTGAATTCCTCTGTGTGTGAAGATAAGAAAGAGAACAGAGTTGGAGGAGAATATAGGGAAGCAGCAGCAGCAGGTGGTTCTACCCACCCCTGCCTTCTATCCCGTCAACCACAAATGGGTACCTGGCACCACTGCATTTGCTTGTGCTTTGCTAACATCAAGACATGAAGTGACACTCTTTCGTAATAATACATAAAAATTAATCCCGAGGCCCTTGATCCAGAGTTAATCATGTGCCCCATGATCGGTATGGTATGATATGTTGGTAATTTTGCATATGAATGCAAAGAGAGGCAAAGAGATTGGTCACAAATGATTTTCTTTGCTGCTGGTTTTTAAATAGTTTCCTCTGAATTGTTTTAAGTTTTGTTTTGTATGGATGATGTACCCCGTTCACCTGTACAGTGTTCAGACTGCTGCTATTCTTTTATAATAATGGGACACCTTTTGTTTTCATGTTTTATTTGCACATGAACCACACTGGGAGGATTTGAAAGGTAACATAGAAATAGATGTATCTTAATGCAAAAGCAAATTCTCCTAGCTTTCTCATCTCAGAGACAACCAGTCAATTAGGGTTAGGCCCTCTTGTGTGCTGACAAACGAACAGTTGTGGTACAACAGTGAAATCTGTTCTATACTCACCAAAGATGTACACCAGCATTTCCAAAGCCCATGCCAGCAAAAGCACTTGCCAAATGCATTTTAGCCCTTGCTTCTTGGTCGTCTGGGTTCTTGATGGCTCTGCCAGAATGAAAACAGTTTATCCAAATAAGAAAATGCATGTGGATGGAAAGGACAAATGACACTGTAGCATGTTAGAGGTTTATCAGTGCACTACTAGGGTAAGGGACTGTAACACAGGGTTGATTGCCCCGGAAAGGGTTCCTTTGCAGGGAGTAATCGCTTCTCGCTTAAAGTGATCCTTCTGTCCATCAGGGAATGACTGCAACCCAGCCCCCAAAAGTAGTAGCTCTACTTCTTGACCAAAAAGGTCCACATTGGACATGGATTGGGGCTGGGTGGAGCACTATTTTACAGAGGCCACACAACACATGCATGGATTGGGGCTGGGTGGAGCACTATTATACAGAGGCCACACAACACATGATAAATAGTACTCCAGCCCAACTACAATCATGTTGTGTGGTTGCTAGGAAATAGCTTCCACTGGGCCACGCCACAATTGGCCCAAAATGTGAGATAGATGCTTGTGTGATCACACCCTCAATGATACGATGCACTGTGGACCAGAAGACCCTCCTGCCAATTCAAACCTTTATGTATTTAGTTAATTCAGGAGAGCACCAGGTTGGATCATACTCTTTCATTCATGATTAACTACTCATCTGTGAAGGATGATGTGGTTGTTGTTCTTTCAAACAGAAGAAATTTAAGATTACTAGAAAAATATTACCTCTTCAAATATTTAGAAACAATCCTTAATGCATGGATGGCCCAGACATCACTGATAGGGTTGCTTCCTTGGTAAGCTGGTCGGTTCATTGGATTTGAAGGACAGGGGCTACGCTGATTATACGGAAGAGCAGTATAGGATTCGAGGGCATGGCTGGCAATGGGATGGAGAGGAAATGGAAGTGTCCATGTAAGAATATATTCATGTAGCTGTCCTATAGAACAGCCTGCTTTTCATTTTATTTCACATCCTATTCAAAATCATTCAATTCCTTCTCTAAAATATTTTGATTAAAAAAAAACATTTATCAACACACATACCTAAAACTGTTAAAATGTCTTTAAAATAAGGTAGTCTTTTAAATATATGAAAAATACTTACCAGAGCACATCAAAGCCACTATTAGCCATCACCCGTTCAGGCATATGGAAAGTATGTAAAGGGTCAATGATGCCCAAGAAGGGCTTAATGGCTCTTGAAGCAATGCCTAAACATGGACATCACATATTTGTTAAGCTAGAGATATGTGGCATTATCCTGAAAAACTGCACTGACTAGTCTTACTAAAACTGCCTTAGATGTTTCATCAAATTCCTCCATGAGGAGGAGGGATATCTATCACCTACTTTGTATTTTCCCCAGGTCTTTGGCTATCCAGATGTTGAGGGACTACCATCATATCTTATCACTGGCCAGACTGCTAAGACTGATGTGAGATGGAGTTCAATGGCACCTGCACAGACACAACTTGCCTAGACTTGCTTTTGGTGTAACACAGAGAGGAGAGTGGGAATTGACAATTGGTGGGAAGTCCCAGATGGCAGTTTGTTCCCCCCACAAGTGAAGGGATAAGGTATCCCCCTACTTGGATCACAGATAGCCAGAAGTTCCCATATCATGTTCATACAGGTAAATAGACCGCTGCATATTGATTGCTTTTTTCATCATGTTCACATGGAGTGCATAGACCTTTGCATTAAGAAATGTTATTGTGAGTCAGTTCTAGCCATAAATCGGTTTTTCTGCTCATGCCACAGAAGACCATGGAATATCACAACATTTCAACAACTTTTTTCTTTCTCTCTTCATTTGTAGTAATAGTTTTTTTCATTGACATGTATCTCATCGCCCTAAGGTATTTGAGAAAAACTGTTTATTTGAAGTAACTGCTAATGAATTCCATAAAATGGATGTTAAAGAAAGCTTTAACAAAGAAACAAGCAGTAATATAAAATCCACAGAATTTGCATGCAGCTACAATCCTTACCAGTTTTTACTTTTAGTTCTTTGTAATCAAAAATAGCGACTCCAGTAGTTTCGCTTCCAGTTCCAGCTGTTGTAGGAACTTTGGGGAAAAAAACCAAATTCAGTTAGTCATCACTGTTGTAAATCAATCCAACCTTTAACAAAAAGTGGAGGGATGGCAGCTATATCACTGATTTTCAGGAGGAGTTAAAAAGGAGTGGTAGTGATGCTCTTCTGAGGAGTTGCTGGCTACCAACCTCTCGTGTTACCAAAAACCCTCTCAGAACAACACTTCAAGATTATGTAGGTCAATTTTCAAGAGGCATTCTGGAGAAAAAATTGTCTGCAATTTTGAAGAGCAGTACCACTGCAAAATAGATGGGAGGGAAAAAAAGAGGAGTAATTTGGAGGGAATGCTCAGCCAGTCTTCTGCTTGCAAGCTTGAGATGTTGGACCAGAGCTGTCTCATGACAGCTCTTAAAACCATAGCACAATATGGTGCCCTTTCCCATTCCATGTTCAGAGCTAATGAGCCTGGAACTGAAGAACAGGGTAGCATCTATTTACCTGAGGATGACAAGCTCCCTTAAAGGAGGGCAAGTAGTCATGTGGCTTGGGTAGTCAATATTTCACCTCTACTCTCTGCATTGACATCTGATCACTGAGGCCATCACCTTAATGCCTAGTGTCATGTCCTACCAAGAATTAAGTTCTATTACCACACAATCAGGCTTCCCAGTTTGGATGGAAACTTGTATGAATTTTTAAATGCAGCATGATCCATTCGTCACTCTTGTACTCTACTCTTTCCCTCAGACAGCTCAAAATTCCTTATATAAGATTTTGAGGCAGTCCCTCAAATCATGTAATTTATAGACTTCTGACAGAAGAATAGATAACTCAAAACTATCATATACATGCTATAGTTTTACAGTCACGCAAATATGGAATGTAAGTTTTCTTACCTGCTATCAGTGGCTTAAGAGTGACTTTAACAGGCTTGCCCTTTCCAATGGGAGCATTGACATAATCCAAGAAGTCTGACTCTGGGCTGGATGCATAGAGATTGGCTATTTTACAAGTGTCTATCACTGAACCTCCGCCTACAGCAACGTAAGAGTCAAACTCCCTCTTTTTTGCAAAGACAATGGCATCCTTGAAACTTGAAAGAAAGAAGTGTTATTTTACTTTGACACACAACCTTACAGCCCAAACTAGACAATATACTCAAAACATTATTAGAATAAGTGACCCCTCAATTGGCAAAATGTGTGTTTCTCATAGCATATGATTTTTGTGATGTATGTATTTTGTATAACATGCTTTGTTTTGGAATAGATCATTGGAAGGTTAACACAATGCTGGAGCACTTATATCTGAGGAAATCCTACTGACTGGTAAATTGTAGGGGGTGTGCATTCCCCTCATGATATACTTTGGCTTTTATACTCTAAATCATGTATTTAAAGCTACAAAGAGAAACATAAATACTTGACCAAAATTAACAGGCAACAGTTCAGACAGCTACTTTGCTTGGCTACAACTGATGAACTTGCTTCCAAGATTCCTGCCGCCCTATCCTTGATAACAGGTAGCTAGTTGGGTGCTTGAAGAGGAAAATCTAGATTTTGTCTGCTTGTGAACAGAGGTCTGCCCACAGAACTCTTGGGAAGGGGGATTTTTTTGGTCCCCTGATACTTCCTTTTTTCTTTCTGATTCTTTCTCCCAGTTATAGTCCCTGTGTCTCCCCAAAGAAGGTTGTCTGAGGGCTCTGAGGAATCCTCTTGAACCACATGGGAGACAGTATTTCCCCTGCTGGGGAAAGATGGGGATCAGCATCAATGTGAAAAGTTAGTTGTAACAAATTTAATTCCTTTTGGGCTTTGACTGTTATCCTGTAGAAACTGACAGATGGATATTCTCTCTTACCATAAGCCTTTATTTGCAAAAACTTGGAAAGCAAACGGTAAATGTCAAGTTGTAAAAGTGTGAGACAGAAAGTACCTCTGGTCTGATGGCTCCACCCTTACATTGTCATATATTTGGAAGTTTATACCATTTGCTGTTAGAGAATCCAATACCGCTTTCAGAGGAGGGAGCTGAGAAATATTTTTATCTGTCACCACACAAACACTTCTAGCACCCAAGTTCTGCAGGTCCTGCAGCAAGAAGAGCAAATGGAGAAAGAAAGAGGGGAGAAAAAAAGAAACCACTCTGAAGGGAACATGGAGTGAGCCCCCATTGCTTGTCCCAGCTCCCGCCAACCTAGCGGTTCAAAAGCATATAAAATGCAAAAATGCGAGTAGATCAATAGGGACCACCTTGGTGGGAAGGTAACAATGTTCTGTGTCTAGTCGCGCTGGCCACATGACCACGGAAGATTGTCTTCGGACAAATGGTAGCTCTATGGGTTGGAAATGGATATGAGCACTGCCCCCTAGAGTCGAACACGACTGGACAAATTGTCAAGGGGAACCTTTACCTTTACCTTACTGTGGCGTTCACCCTTGTGGCACCTGCATGTTTTGCCCTCACAAAGGCTCAAGTCGTGTTTTCCTCTCGCTGCCACCAGTAGATTACCTCAATCCACAATATAAATGACGTTTGTCAGAACACTTGTCTTGTGAATACAAACCGCCTAGAGAGGTCATGTTGACCAGATAGGCAGGGTATAAATAAAATAAAATAAATGAATGAATGAATGAACGGAACTTATTTATTGAAGTGAATCAGATTTAATAATAACAGAAGTTATTCAGATAAACATTATACACAAGCAAATAATTAACAGTTCTCTCAGTACATACTTTTCTCTTTCAAAATCATTACCACCTCCTCTACTTATTTTCTTAACCAGATTTATCTCTCAGTATTTGTCCCCTCTCTCTCTGACGAACCAGTCCCTTTCTCTTTCTGGATCTCATCCCAATCTCTATCTCTAGCTTCTTCCGCCAAATCTTCATATAGCTGCTGACTCCACCTCTCCAGCCCTCTCATAGGGTCATGCAAATCAGCTCGTGACTATGAATGGATTGAGTGATGTGGGGCGATCGTCACAATTACGATTAATATATCTGTATGAATATAATTCATTACATCCAGTCATTCATCTCTGCAATGTTACTAAGCAATGCAGGGGTGGGGTGCTGCTGTTCTGAACTCCCAGCTACTCCATTCTGTTCCTTTTATCCTGGCTTTCTGTTCCCTCTGCGGTAATCTCTGTGTTCCATGCTCTCACTGTTTTGTTTGGGGACTCTGTCTTGGTTCAGGGTATTTCTGAAACTGTTTTTGTACTTCTGCAAACCTTGAGATTCTTCTAACCTTGCTGGCACTACCCTTTTGTATATTTTGCCACTTTGACCAAAATATACGCTTGGAGGACTGAGACAGTGCCCTTACTATGTATAGATGACATACCTACTATGCCCTTACTATGTATAAATGACATACCTATTTGCAGTGGTTCATCACACAGTTGCAATGCTGAGAATTCAGAGCAAAGTTTCAGATTTTATTCCAAAATCCTAGTGCGTTTGCATTAATTGCCTGTGTAAATTTCTTGTGCTGTACTAATATTAACTCCACTCATTCTTTCACATGTTTTATTTCATTTTTTTGAAAAAGAAAAGAAAAATCACTCAAAATAGTGAAACACTTTGCACAAACACATTTCTGGGAAGTTAACAAGTGATAACAAATAAGTTGGAAGTAACCAATCAATAATAGTCATTCCCTCAGTGTTAAACTTTCCCATGTGAAAACATGGGGAAAAGGGACATCTTAAATCCTTTGTGATCTCCAAAAAGTGACAGATGATGGCTAAAATCCTATTGATGCTCTTGTAAGGTCTGCTTAACTTGCTGCTAGAGATAGGCATGGCTCGCTTCATGCCACATCATTGTAAGTTGTCATCATGGCGCCACAGGTGTCGCACATTCCCTTCCCCCACTCACCAACCCGCACAAACTACTTGTCTTCTGCTCTTCATGAGACCACCCAATCACAGCAGGAACATGGACTTCATTTTTCCAGCTCCTCCAACAGCTGCAAACTCAGATGAGGAGCAGGGATTCTTGCAGTGCTGCCTTTGAGTGGACAGTCATGTGAAGAGCAGGAGATGAGCAATGTGTGCTAGCTGGTGAGTGGGAGAGTCAGCTGGGGTGGGGTTGGGGGTTGGGGAAGGGAATGTGTGGCACCTCTGGTGGTGCACCAACTATTTGTGACAACATGGCACAAAGCAAGCCATGCCCATCTGTACTTGCTGCAGCTACTTGACAAGGTGTCAGGGTAGGTCTTGGTCACGTGATTGATCACATGTTTGATTGTACGACAGAGAGGCACCCTGGCTCTTCATAAGATAGCTACAATTAGCTGTGGCTGGTTAAGCAAACCTTATGTGAATACGCATATCAATAGGATTCCAGCTGAGCAACATTACTGTCTGTAAAGTATTGCTTTCAAGCTCTAATTCAGAAGTAGATTTTTTTCAAAAAAGGCTACCCGTGCATGAAAAATCTTCACAATGAGTGGCAGTCTTTTAAACATCAAGTGAAAATATGTAAATGCTTCCTTACCATTCCCACTTCTTTAGTAACACCCTTTCCATATCGGATATTAGAAAGAGACATCTAGAAAAGCCAGGAAATAATATATTTCAGAAAAATGGCTACATGGAGCTAAGATTCCAAAAGTTATTTTTTTCAAAGGGTAAACACAATGGTTGTCTTATCTAGAATGGACCGACTCGTTGAATTCAAATAAAGTAATTGATTTCAAATGATCAGTACATATATTAGCTTGTGTAAGTTGTAGGTTTAAAGAGAGCACAGTATTTTACTTTCAAATGGGTTTATTCATTAAGTTTACCTCAAAAGCATATTCTGTTTTTCCTGAAACAACTTTTTCAATACCTGGAACAGAAATTATAAACTGAATTGAACAAGAGCAGAACCAGACAAGAGATAAATTGTTTATGTTTCCAAGAAAGTTTCATGTAGTTGACGTACTTGAAGTATAACTCTCAAGAATTTAACATGCCATTTCTTCTCTCTCTCTAGCTCTCTCTTTTTCTGTGTGTGCTGGCATCTTTTCCCTGAAATTTACTCATATGCTCCATTGTTGTGCACCTTATTAGCTGTACATAGCACCTGTGTCAGACCTTGGAAAAGGTCCTTTTGTTGGTGGAAATGGAGTGAGGTATGATTCCTCTAGAGAATCCACTGTAGTTGTAGTCCACAACAAAGGAACAGTATCAAATTCTGACTTTCTCAGCTTCTTTGTGGAAGCATCAGTGGTCAAGAGTGCATTTGCACAGTTAAAACCAGTGTGCCTGCTGCACCTGCTCCTGGAGAGGTCTGATCTGGCCATGGTGACACAGGCCTTCGTTATATCCTGGCTGGATTGATGCACTCTATGTGGAAAGGATCACAAAACTTCAGTGTATCCAAAACAAAGCAGCTAGATTGCGAAGAGGGGCAAGACATAGGGACCCCTTGTTACAATAGTTCCACTAACTGCTGATCCAGCTTTGGGCAGAATTGAAAGTGATGGTTCTAACCTATAAAGCCCTAACTGGCTTGGGTCCAAGCTTTCTCAAGGACTGCATCTCCCTTTATGAGCCTATTTGAATGTTAAGATAATCAAGGGAGGCCTTTATCTCAGTTCTGTCACCTTCACAGGTGCATTTCGTGGGAACACAAGCAAGGCCTTCTCTGTTGCTGCTCCCAGATTCTGGAATTCCCTCCCACAGAAGACTAGGCTGGCCTCATCTTTATTGTTCTTCCGCAAGCAGGCAAGACCTTTCTTTTCAGAAAACCTTTCCCTGAGTGACTGGCTGCCAAGTGGGGCTTTTTAATGGATTGATGTTCCTTACTGCATTGAATGTACTTTGGCATTTCTTTTTTCTTTCTTTTAGTATTGCATTCATTCAGTTCTTTTAGTACTGTATACTCACTGTTGTTAGCTTAATTACTGCCTTTTAATTGTTGTAAGCTGCCTTGGATCTTTTTTAAGGAGAAAGGTGGGTTAAAATATTTTAAACAAATAGCATGTCCATATGAGCACTGCTTGGCCATGATGCCGAAGAGAGCACAGTGTGCTTCCAATGATCTGCTGTGATGTATAGCTTGCACAGAAAAAGCATATTGGGCATATATATGCAAAGGAAGCTCTCCATCCACAGCAAAATGTAACAAAATACTGCCAAAACTGTATGGATAATTGCTATGTATAAATAATTATGCACCATCAGGTGAGTTCTAACTTATTATTATTTATTTAACTTCCGGAGTTGGAGTCCCGAAGGCAGTTCATGTCATTCTGCCAACTTCTGCGACGTTACTGGAACCAGTTGTATTGGCTCTTGCCTTTCCATTGGACCATTTCAACAATGTGGAGAGGGGGGATTTGCTGCTTGGGTAACAGCCTATCCTCCATATTACTTTACCCAGGCTTCATGCTCTGGAGAGGACACTCGAGACTGAAGGATGCCTATGGGTATTATTTAACTTATATGCCACCCACACTACCCAAAGGTCTCTGGGCAGCTTACAACATTTAAAATACAATAAAAAGACAAAACAATTAAAATGCAATTAAAATATATACTCTAAAGATTGCCATCAGACCCACAGCTGATATTATTTTAATTAAAAGCCTTCTGGAACAGGTTTTGGTGCCGAAATGTCATCAGCGTCACCACCAGATGAATCTCAGTCGGGAGGGCATTCCATAGTCTGGGGGCAGCTACCAAAAAGGCCCTTTCTCTACAAGCCATCCCTCTTACTTCCTTGAGGGACGGCTCTTTCAAAAGGGCCCCCTGGCTAGATCTTAACTGTGAGGTAGGTTCATATGGAAGGAGGTGGTCCTTCAGGTATCCAGGGCCCAAGCCGTTTAGGGCTTTATATGTCATGTAACTGTCATGAGACTCCGCTCGTCCAGGTAGGGCCATAGCTGGTAAAATTTCCACAGCTGAAGGAAGGTGCCTCTGGCCACCGAGTCCACCTGGGCTTCAAGTGTTAGACTGGGGTCCAGAAGCAGCCCCCAGCTGTAGACCCTGTCCCTTAGGGGGACTGTAACCCCATTCAGGGCAGGGAAATGGCCCTCCAGCCTGTCCGGCGAAGCACCCACTAACAGCACTTCCGTCTTGTCCGGATTGTATTTCAATTTATTAACCCTCATCCGGTCCATTATCAGGTCCAGACACGAGTTCAGCACAGAAACTGCTTCACCCGGATTGGTGGAAAACGAGAGGTAGAGCTGAGTATCGTCAGCATATTGCTGACTCCTCAGCCCAAACCTCCTGATGACCTCTCCCAGCGATTTCATGTAGATGTTAAACAGCATGGGGGACACTTTCGTGCCCTGAGGAACCCCATGACATAAATGCCATGGGACAGAGCAACTGTCCTCCAGCACCACCCTCTGGACACGGTCAGCCAGGAAGGAGCGGAACCACCGTAAAGCGGTGCCCCCAACTCCCAACCCAGCCAGCCTATCCAGAAGGACACCGTTGGCGATGGCGTCGAAAGCTGCTGAGAGGTCCAGGAGTATCAACAGGGTCACAGTCCCCCTGTCTCTCTCCTGGCAAAGGTCATTGTACAGGGCAACCGAGGCAGTCTCCGTACCAGAACCCGGCCTAAAACCCGATTGAAATGGATCCAGAAAATCCGTTTCATCCAGCAGCACCTGGAGTAGCTATAGGGTTTAGAAGTAAACGGTTATAACCCGCTCCAACACTTTGCCCAAATAAGGGAGGTTCACCACTGGTCGGTAGTTAACCACCAGCCTTGGGTCCAGGTTAGGCTTTTTAAGGAGTGGACGAATTACCGCCTCTTTCAAGTTGGTAGGGATCACTCCCTCTCTCAAAGAAGTGTTCACGGTCTCCTAGACCCAGGTGCGAACCCCCCCTGGCAGATCTTCCAATTAGCCAAGATGGGCAAGGGGCGAGCGGAGTGGTGGTAGAACAGACAGATCCAAGCACCCTGTCCACATCTTCAGGTCTTAACAACTGAAACTCATGGCTACCCCTTTCAGGATTTTCTAGCTATAGAGTATTTTATGTACTGTTTTTAAAAAATATTGTCTGCATGGTATCTAATTATGTCCCAGGTTTGTGTTTACTGACAATACAGTTGATGAATATGGGTTGGCCTAATTCTTGTTTCTACTTGAAAAGAGTAGAATAGATTGCATCTTCCTTTTTTTAAAAATTAATTAATTAATTAAAATGAACTATTTCCAGTTAAGAAATCACAGCAGATTATTCTAAATTGCAGGCTTGCATCCAGGAGCACCTGGCTGCCTTAGTGTTTAGCATGAAATGTCAGTAACATGCTTAATTTGAGGCTAAGGGGTAGAGTTTAGAAGTAAACAGTTATAAAAAACCAGCTATTTTCAGTCAATTCTTTTTCTTGTGAACAAAGATAGAATTATGGCACTTTATAACTATACCTTAACGAAGCAAAAATTAACTCCGTTTTTGTTAAAACTGTAATGTTACTGTACATGGCCTCAATAAATGGTGGAATATCACAGGGTTCATGTGGCAGATTGTGCTGTTGGGCTCTGTTGTGGGTGCTGATGCAACAATGCAATGGACAAGAGGAGAGAACATTTTGTTTCACAGGCCAGCTGTTTGTAATTTTCAAATATTTTTCTTTCCAAAGGACATAAAAAGAGAACTATCTTAGTTACCTTGAAAAATAAAAAAAAAGCTCAGTTAATGATATAATTGCTATCTAATGGAAACCTGACATTAGGAAAGTTTAGAACAGAAGATAACCAATGTAAGGGGGGGGGGAATTGACTTACCTTGAGAATAACTGTGGGAATGAGCAGGACACATGCACCTAATGAAAAGGGGAAAATAGCTTCTGTAAAAAAGCACTGAGAAAATAACAGAACCAGAACAAGTGTCCGTTTCACAAACAGAAACAAATTCTTATGGTAGATTTAGCTGATGCAACAATGCAATGGACAAGAGGAGAGAACATTTTGTTTCACAGGCCAGCTGTTTGTAATTTTCAAATATTTTTCTTTCCAAAGGACATAAAAAGAGAACTATCTTAGTTACCTTGAAAAATAAAAAAAAAGCTCAGTTAATGATATAATTGCTATCTAATGGAAACCTGACATTAGGAAAGTTTAGAACAGAAGATAACCAATGTAAGGGGGGGGGGAATTGACTTACCTTGAGAATAACTGTGGGAATGAGCAGGACACATGCACCTAATGAAAACGGGAAAATAGCTTCTGTAAAAAAAGCACTGAGAAAATAACAGAACCAGAACTGTATAAAATGAACAAGTGTCCGTTTCACAAACAGAAACAAATTCTTATGGCAGATTTAAGACTAACAGACTCATTTCAGTGAGCTTTTATGGATTACAGTCCATGTGTTTCTGAATAAATAGACCAAATCTATGAAAGTTTACGCTAATATAAATCTATTACTCTTCAAAAAGCCATATTTTTCCTTACATGTGCTTACACACACTTACTAATAGGCTTACTTCTTGAAAATATATCATGGCATGTTTCACAAAAGTGTTGTGACATCTAGTGTCTGGAAGTGGTAATGACTTTTCCTTACTACTGGAATTATCACTTTTGAAGACTTTGAAAAATGCATGTATAATACCTAATGTTAATTTGTATGTCATTTAAATAGGACTTAGAAACTGGGAAGGCCCTTTTAGGAATATCAAACAACAGTTTTAAATAAAAAGAAAAAAAGTCTCTTGTGACATATGGAGGAGTGAGACTTCAAAGCCGAATTTTATTTGGCAGTAAGTGTTCACAGATTACAGCTCAGAGACATGTCGCCACAACCCCATCACTTCTAATATTCATTAATCAGAAGTGTTTTTCTGCTCCCACCCATGTTTTTCTAAATTGGTAGAATAAACACAGATTTCTTCTGGGCAGCCTATTGCAAGGATCTGAGCCTACTAATTTTTCCCAGTCAGTTACACTAACTTCTGCTGAACCTGCTTCCAAGTAACTGCATTCACATTTACTTCAAAATGAGTTTAACACAGTGGAAGCAGGGTTCTAGCATTATGAAAGAGAAAAATATACCATCCATTTTCTTTACATAATGCAGTTTTATATCCTTAAGATAATCTGGAATCGCTGTTAAAAACCTGATATTGGCTCCAGAATAAGTGCTGCAGTGATAGTGATTTTGTTTTGATATACAAGAGTGCACCTTTGAAAATATGCATTCCAATTTTGAACTGCTACTCAGTGATTTTCATTTTGCTCAACCAGAAGTTTTTTATGCTGCATTTTCTTGTTGCACTTTATTTTTCACAGATGAATCTTATCACTCTGAGAACATGATTGATGAACAGCCGTACAAATCCAGTACGTAAATACGACTATATTTGTTGTTTCCATCTATGGAAAAAGGTTGGAACTAAACATTCTGTGAGTTTCTGCATACTTTCAGCAAATGCCAAAGTCCACTTCTGTGCTAGGAACAGCCTTTGACACAAGGTTTCTGTTTGCTTGTTCTCTCAGCTGTAAAGGAAAGAGAACTAGGCAGGCTATATTAATAATTTCCAAAGATAGAAAAGCTCATTTCTCAAAATACTGTACAGTCATTCCCTTGACTTCAGCACCAGTACATTCCCTAAAAGTAATGGCAGTAATATTTTGAAATGCTGTGTTGCTTTTTTAGTGGGAGGTTTTCTTGAAAATTTACATCTCAAGAACCAAAATCCATAGAGCTTAAGAAAGTGCAAACTTACGAGGCTCGATAAAGTTGTTTCAGCATATGAGTCACTCTTTCCCGTCCTCCTGCCATGACTCGCAGCCTTTACTTTGAACAGCAAGGCATGATGGGAAAGCAAAGTCAAGAGAAACTATGTAAACACAGAAAGGGAACGGAGAGAATAGCTGTCCATTTTCTGGTGTGCTTATTATAACTGATTGCAGAGCTACATTAAATTACCAACGGAATCACTTTAAAGTTTTCAAGGGGAGACCTAAGAAACCCAAACACCATTAAGTTTATTATTGATTCTACAGGTTTTACAACTTTGCTTCTCTTGACTCTGTGGATCTCTTTCTGAGTTGCTTGCCAAGGAGTGAGTTAACTGCAAGAGTGTGGTGCTGGTCTTCTCTAAAAGGACACCTTGAAAATTCACATCTAGCCTTTAGCTCTGCAGAAAACTGAAATAAGCCGTTCTAATGTATTGTGACCACAGATCAGCCAGTCTTAAGGCTTCCACAATACTTTGTAAATAAAGCACTTACAATTATTCTTATTTAAGAAAACTGGATGTGTGTGTGTGTGTATATATATATATATATGTATGTATGTATATATATGTGTGTGTGTGTGTATGTATGTACAGTATGTATATCTATATCTATATCTAATTTCACAACTAAACTGTATTTTTTTACAAAATAGAAATGATAGGATTTTCATTGAATGTTGCTCTGCTAGCTTAACTATTCTGTCCACTGATTCATCTATACATGAGCTGGAACTTAAAGGAACTCCAAGCTAGTGGTTTATAGCCCTTGGCTATCTAGGTGTTTAGAACCTGAACTCCCAGAAACCTCAGTTTATATGGCTAAAACATTTGAAGGGCCAAAGATTGAGGAGTCCTCCAGAATATGAACAGCTGCTCCCAGGATTACACGCCTTACCTACTTCCTTTTGCAAAGCACTACAATAGGATAAAGAAAAATAATTGTGCAATTGAGTGAAATTTAAAATCAGAATTGAATCACACAATTGTGTACTAAGTACTCTGAGTAAAATGTAGATATTGATCACATAAGACATTTGTGGGAGATAAACTTCATTGGCTATGCCTTAATTTATGTAGAAAAAAGGTGCTAAATATATAAACAGATGACCTTGCATCTGCAGGTATGGAAAGGACCGGATGGGAACTCTTGGGAAGCTCTGCTGAGGATCCAGATTGCCACTCCTAATCTTGTGAAGGTGCACTATCTCAGTCTATCCTTAGCCAGCCTGTAAAGATTCCCCTTGACATTTAGTCCAGCGGTGCTATCCCTGTTTCCAAGCTATAGAGCCAGTGTTTGTCCAAAGACAGTTTGGAATGCCATTACCTTCCCACTGAGGTGGTACCTGTTTATCTACTTGCATTTTTATATGCTTTCGAACTGCTAGGTTGGCAGGAGCTGGGACAAGTGATGGGCGCTCACTCCGTTGCGTGGATTCGATCTTACGGCTGCTGGTCTTCCGACCTTGTAGCATAGAGGCTTCTGCGGTTTAACCTGCAGCGCCACCATGTCCTTTGGTCAGGGCCCCACAAGGATCACTCTACTGTTGTCTGGTTGTGAATATGAATACAGTGGTGCCTCGCTTAACGAGTGCACCGTATAGCGATGTTTCCGTATAGCGATCCCTTTTTCGGGATCGCTATACGGAAACATACCCGATCTTCGCAATGGGGAAAACCCGCATTGCGAAGATCGGGTATTGCGGCGGCCATTTTGGAGCCGCCGAACAGCTGATCGGCGGTTCCAAAACGGCCGCCGGAAGCCCGGAAATGGCTGCCGGCAGCCGTTTTCGCGCCCTGCCCTCGCTTAGCGAAGGCGCGAAATTGGCTACCGGCAATTGGAATCCTCGCTGAACGGGTAAGTAAGAAAGGTATTGGAACAATACATTTTCCCTACCCGTTTAGCGACGATTCCGCATAGCGAAGGTTAATCCGGAACGGATTAACCTCGCTATGCGGGGCACCACTGTATTTGCAAAACAAGCAAGCCTGTTTGTGTCCTCACATTTAAGCAGGTTGGCTATGAGTAGTAGCTGCTTAACCAGAAACAATGAGCCATGCCTCTGTAGCCCCTTTCCTTGTTTCCCCAGAGGCCTGGTGTCATATTTAAGGAAGTTATGCAATTTGCATAACTGGGTTTTCAATGCATTCCTATGGGAAATGGTGTTTCACTTAACGATGTTTTCCCACAGTGATGTTTTTTTGGAACCAATTAACATTGTTAAGCGAGGCACCACTGTACTTTAAAGAAGTATTGAAATTTTAGCTTTTCTGGAACAGATGCTCTATTTACAATTTTGCAGTTGGAAGTCAATTTCTTATAAAATGATACAGTGGGGTCTTGACTTAAGAACGGCTTGAGTTAAGAACATTTTGACTTAAGAACCTCTCTCATAGGAAAATATTGACTTGACTTACATACTTAGATTTGAGTTAAGAACTGAAAAAAAACCATGTGGGAGGCAGGGAAAGTGCAAAATTTGAACTTTCAGTTAACTGTTGGCCAGTGAAAAGGGTGCCCGTCT